TAACAACCAGGTCCATGTTCACAATCTGATATACTAGTAACACCATTTGAAATATCACCACAAAGTGTTAACAACCAGGTCCATGTTCACAATCTGATATACTAGTAACACCATTTGAAATATCACCACAAAGTGTTAACAACCAGGTCCATGTTCACAATCTGATATACTAGTAACACCATTTGAAATATCACCACAAAGTGTTAACAACCAGGTCCATGTTCACAATCTGATATACTAGAAACACCATTTGAAATATCACCACAAAGTGTTAACAACCAGGTCCATGTTCACAATCTGATATACTAGTAACACCATTTGAAATATCACCACAAAGTGTTAACAAACTACTTCATAACATACACGAAACAAGACATGTGAACCAGATAACATACTTTATCGCACCGCGGGTAAATTATCACGTTGTGATTGGTTTAACGCCGTCACGTGGTGACCCCCTATAGATCCGTAGGGGGTTAGTAAATTTCATAGGGGTTCATGACGTCACGTCTACTGTTAATGGTGACGTCATCTATTAATGTTGTTGTGTTTCATTGTTTATTTTTCTACAAAACGCTGCAGAAAAAGTATCGCGTGCGATAAATTCGTTATACGGTTAACTACTGACCCCCTACGGACCATAGAGGGTGAATAAAATCCATAGGAGATTCGGCCTCCGGCCTCACCCCCTATGGATTTTACTAACCCTCTATGGATCCGTAGGGGGTCAGTAGCGAACCATATAACTTATATGGTAGAATATTGAAAGTAATAAAAGAACGAATGACTGCAATACTTTCACTCATCTTCAAAACATCACTAGAAATGCATTACGCAAAACAGATTAGAAACACGTTAATGCAGCACCTTTACAAAAATGGAAAAAGTATAAGACAGAAAACTATTGACCTGCATCACAGACATGTATATTCTGTTAACTAATGTGATATATCACCAAACACATTGAAAAAAATAACATATTGTATAATCTCCATCGTTGCTTTCGTCAGTATTGATCATAAGAAACACAACTGATTTCATTCATCAACAAAAATACTTTATCATAGTGGACTTTTCCAAAGTTCCTTTCTCAGAAAATTATTCAAACTTCACTTACATGGTATCCAAAATGAAACATTGGACTGGGTCTCAGCGTCCTCAACTGAGAACCGATCTGACATGGCTCAAGTCATTTCGGGTGTCCAATCTGGTTAAAATTCAGATCTAATGCAACTTGCGTCGTATGAGCATACTCAAATCAGATATCTTTATTTGAAGTAGATTGTTCGGATGTCCTCAACTATAGTTCTGGTCCTGTGTGATCTCTGGTGCATAGAAATGATCTACGACTGTCAATAATTGACATCCAGTCAACTCGGACTATCTACAAAATCGTCAGTAATCAAACTGACTTTGATGCTCAGCAGTCCGATCTAGATACAATAACAGGATGAGGGTTACTCATTGATTGCTTTCCATTCAGACAAATGCAGTCCTTACTGTATGACAAAAGTTAACAACCAAACATGGCTGTATTCTCAATAATCAAAAACTCGAACTTTTTTCCCCGTCTGAGTATCTGGGCATTACTCGACAAGAAGCTTTGAACGGTCAAACGAAACAGATCATTTAGGGCGTTTTAAATAAGAAATTTAGACTCACAAAGAGCTCAACATATATATGTCTATAGATCGACCACAACTTAAATACTAAAGTTTGATTTGGGACTATTACTCTGTTAAACAGACTTAACGAATTGAAATGGTCGAAGATGAGCTGCCAGATGTCATTCGTCGATACATGATCATCAGTAGTGTCTCATATAAACTTTTAAGCCGCAAACAAAAGAAGCAAACCACATACAAGGCTGGTAAATTTCTACAAAATTGATCATCACAAGGTAGGAATCCCATTTACCATCGTGATATCATCTGACAGTAGAACTCATAAACCCGTAATTGATTATAATTTCTCACCTACAAAGAATAATATAAGGTCTCACTCCCCACTCTACAATAATCCAAAGGAACTCATTACCACCATAAACAGTAGTCGACACATTAAGTGTACAAGTGTACTCAGCACATTCATGAATATCTACATATACTTTTGTTCATAGTTAAAATCACAAGATTAAATCAGAGGTAGTTCACATGACTCTCAGGAATAAATAGGATAAAACATTAAAAACATGAGCATACACAGAAAGTAATGGTTACCGATTTCTCTTTTACATTTCTTAGAAGGTTAAAAGGGTAACAAATTATTGATTGATTGGGGATTGCTTTTATGTCCAGTGGCAAATATTTCAGGCATGTCAAGAACAATGGCTAACAAATGGATATCCAAATTAAGAATTTTGACATAGTATTAATGTCTTTATTTTTTTTACAGACGAGGTGCATGATATATGCAACTTATTCTAAGTTTGGAAAAAAATGAATTCACTTAGAAATGACAATGTTTCATTCAATACAGTACTTCAATCTACAAAACTGTCCCAAGTCAGGAGCCTGTAGTTCAGTGGTTATTGTTGGTTCATGTCTGTCATATTTGTTTTTTGTGTATCATTTTGTTATTAATTAGACCGTTAGTTTTCTCAATTGAATTGCTTCACATTTTTTAAGTCGGGACCTTTTATAGCAGACTATACAGTATGGGTTTGTCTTATCGTTTGCCTTTAATTGCTAACACCCACTTCATTTGAACTTTGGTGGATAGTTGTCTCATTGGCAATCACACCACATCTCTTTATTTATATACAGGAGACACTTCTAATCATGATCCTAAATGCCTTAATCATCATATTATAAGACAAATCTCATCTCTAATTCCACTCGTGCTTATTATGTTATCTCTGAATAGTCAGTTAATCCTGACCTATACTCAACACTTCTGGCGGGTGGAAGAAGTATAGTAACTTATATAAGTATGATAGGAGATAAGAATAAAATTAATAACTGTTGACACAAGGATATGTCTCGCCTGTCTGCATAAAATTCAGAAAAAAACAATATGAGGGACAGCAACATTGCTTTTCAAAGTTCAAATTTGATTGACCCTGAACAAGTGGGCGGGGCCACAAAATGATTGACAGACTGAGATGTACAGACAGCAATGTAACTTTATAGAAAATATATTGTCTATTGTAAGTAGCTCCTATCAAACTAACTTAAGCCAAAATCTTAACATTGAAAAATTGTTAATTGAAAGTCACTGGATCATGACCTAGGGACAGGGCCGCAAAATTGTTGTCAAACTTATAGTTATGCAACTTCATACAAAATATCATTGATCTATTACAAGTTGTTCCTATCAAACAAACTTAAACTGAAAACATAATTGTTGATGCCAACATCGTCGTCGAATGAAAAGCTACCCCTATATCTCGCTTTCAGCGACTTTTCGTCGCAGGTGAGACAAAAACAAAGAAAAGGGCATACCAATCCAGCTTCCATGGCAGTACCAGGGAAATAATCCCTACCGGCACAGCTCAATTCCATTATTTGACTTACTTGGGAAATTGGGGGAATGAACAAATATATTCTGACTTCTTTGTCCTTTTCAATTTTCCATTAAGAGATATATCAAGTTCATTTTTAACCTCTTTTACTACATTCTAATCAGCTGTGATGGAATCTTCAAAATTTCTGTACTTCTAGAAAAGCCAAATGTTCTTTATTCAATACACAGATATAACTCCAGTTTCCATCCTTCCTCAATCCAGTTTAAAGTCCAGAATTGTTCATTCAATCCACAACTATAACTACCATTTCATTCCTTGATCAATCGGTACAACTTTATACTCCATTCTATTCACTTGGATTTGTTTAATGTTTCCAAAATGGATTTCTGTGCCCAAAGTTGCTCTGGTCTTTGGGTACATTCAAAACTTAAGTTGTCTTTTGTATAGGGTCAATCTAATGTCCTTTTGGAAGTTATTTCCAGTTGGCATGCTATGTAGCTGTATTCTGTATACATGTATTACTTTGACAAAGCAATAACCATTTTTTGCAATTGTGAAGTGATGATTTTTATATGCATCAAGTGTTTTTCATTAAAATTTCATTTGCTTCATTTGTCTGAATGAGTATAATTAAAAGCCACATTCTCTTCATTTCTTTCAAATTATGCAGTTCTCTGTGAAAATATACTTTTTTCTTGTAAAGGTTTCTCTCTCTCATCTTATGATTTTTTTCAATTCCTATGTTAACGTCTATCCTACTTCATCCTTTAAGTAATTAATTTTCAGGTTTTGTTGACTACAACATTTATCTCCATCCATTGGTTAGATGATGTCCTGTAGATCATTAACATAACAAAACCTCTCCCAGAAATAGTAGTTTAAATGTCATTACAAATGTAAACAGATTGCAAACTTGATATCTCAAATAGGTTCAGTTCTCTTTTTATCAATGTCAAGATCAACTGGAGACCACATCATCTATGTCTTTTTCTGCAGCACTCTTTAAATAAGATCCTTTTTTGTTTGGATTCATATATTCGAATTTAAGGTTTAAATTTTGTTCCATCTTATTCTACATTATGGGTCAAACAGGGTGCATTAAATAATCTCAATCCTACACTGTAATTACATTACTATAGCGACAGGGCAGATATAGCTTCTTTAGCAAGACTTCATTATCTAATCAACAGCAGCAATTACTTTGAAAATACTTTTGGTTGTGGAGTTCGATTTTGTGAGATCTGTGGAAAAATCATTGGTCATGACGCTTGTGAATAAGTGGTTTCATATTTGCCCTTAACAAATTCATTAAATCATTGGAATATATGCAATTTTGGGTATTGAAATTCTTGATTTTCATTAAAAAATCTACCAAAAATGGAATTCATCTTATAAAAGTACATCATAGTAAAATCCTTTTAGTGCTTTCCAACTCTTACTTTCCCCCCAAACATAGCTACAAGTACATTTTGTCAATTGTGTTCATTCATACAATCTCTGGATATGAATGGGTAAAGTAGCTTAAAAAAATACAACCATTTTAATAATTTATTAATTTTCAACGCAAGCACTATAACTCTCTCTCTCTCCCTCTCGGTCATTATCACACATTCAGTACATCACTAACAACATATAAAGTTCTCAAGCTTCGTAATCTGGATTCTTCTTCAGTATAACAAATCCTTCCATTATAGGACTTATTGGTAGATCTGTAGACAAGAGTTAAGGATCATGTAAGTGTTTAAAATGCAATAAGAAATTATGATAAATGTAAATTACTTTATTAAGTGTAATATGCATCTGTTTATCTAATAAATATGTAAGTTAATGTAAAACCTTGGCCTTCAGTATGTTGAAAATATTGGATTTGAATTTTTTGATATATTATGATGTATAACTTCTTCATGGGCATTATTACAGTATCTGGAGAAAAAGAATCAGAAGTAGTTTAGAACTATTTCAAATATACACATAATGTTTGGAAATACATAAAATTAAGTAAAATAAATGAATTACATAAGATTTTTGATGTTATAACGTCACAATTACATCATCATTTTCACCATTTTTATGAAAATGAAGAAAACTACTGAATGAATGCAGTTTTCAACTGTTATTTCCATTGTGGAAACATTGTGTGCAGCTGAGAAACAAAAAAATAATTTAAGAGAAGCTTAGTTATAACTATTAACATAATCCTACCAAATATAAAGTTGTTTCTTGGGTGCGTACATACTTTTTCAGTCTTATATATACATTAAAATGGGTATAAAACTAGGATATTACAAAAATTTTACATAAACAAATTTCATCATGGTTTATTGCCATGGTAACTCGTTAAATGTGAAATTTGTTTTTATTTTCTTAACACTTTGTACCTTAGTGTAGTTAGAACAAATTTTAAGAGTATGTATGGGAAAATTTTAATTTGCATTAATATTAGGGCCAAATGAGGGCCTTATTGCCTCTACTTCTATAGAAACTATTGTGTGCATTTATTATTATGATTTTTGAAGAAAGGACAAAAATGTGAGATTAATTATTGCAGTTTCAGGAAAATTTGCATACAGATTATGTATCTTCTATCAAAATGTGAGTTCTTAATATTGCAATAATCACCCAGTTACATTATTTACATTTATTTAAACTTGCAATAGTTTCTGAATTTACAGTAAACAGAAATAATTAAAATGATTCTTATCAGATCAAAGACATTTTTCATGTTTAGATTCAGTTCTATCTCTTCTGATTCTAACTTTTGTAGGTTCAGAAGTCTACTAGGAGAGTACGATTCCCAATTTACAAATATAACTTAGCAGTATGATTCTGAAAGTATTCTGAAAATGTGAAACAAGTTCAAATATCCCATTTATTAACAGAGTTCCATCAATAAAATCAGGATAAGAAAACGTATTGCAAATCTATAATTATATTGAGTAAAAAGGATACATTCTTCTGTAGCTAACTCTGCCCTTTCACCATAAGCCAGCAGAACTGGTGTTGTATGAGTCTGGAATCCTGTTATAGACTTAGGTTTACCTGCTTGACCTACTACATCTACAGCCTACAAATAAAACATTGTAATTTGTTCTAGAACTTTGTCAATGTCAACATAATAAGATTCAGTCCTTGTTCAGGTGTTTACAAGTGAATTCAAAAAGAAATAAGATTCTTGGTCATTTCCGACATTCTTCTGAGAAATTCTTTATTTTTCACCTCTGTCAACTGACTAAAGGCTTTCTCACACTAGTGGAATACAGCCCATCTTAAGTCTTATCTTGTGTATGAAAAAATGGAACACATCAACTGAGGAAATAGTAACATTTCTCATATATTTTAGTACTGAATTGTTTTCTTTTTTTTGCATTTGTCAATAGATGAATTTTATTTTAAGTCATGTATGTTTCAACAGAACCTTACATTTAAAGAAGTAAACTGTCTGACCTTTTTACTTTCACTAAATGTTTGAGCAGACATTGGGTTGCTGTCTTATTTATGTATGCCCCATGTCTTCTTTTATTCATTACAAGACATGTGATCATGATGTGAAATCTGAATAAATCAGTTACAATATATATCAGTATAAAAAAATTGAAATGTCTTACCTGTCCAACTCTGACATGTACAGGAGTTGGTCGTAATTCCTCATCAAAAGTGGTCAACATTCTGGGCTGCATGGCTGACACAAGGTGGTACAAAATGTAATGAGATTTTCCTAAGATCACTGTAGAAAATGTAGAAATATTTAGTTATTAAGACATCTTGGTCTTTTCATTTTCAAAAGAATACATTTGCTCTTGGGATCTTCAAAATTTTGAAGAGACATTAATTGTTGAAATGTACATCTTGGTTCTGTTAATGTTGTTAAACTGGTTTGTAGTGTGTAATTGTACCTTCAACCTTTTGTAATTTAAAATTGTGTAAGAAATTATACCAAATTTACTTAAACATTTCCAAGGTAAATAATACATTACCTTTTACTTAACAGAACATCTGGAAACTTTTTATTTAAGGATTTGCAATAAACTGGTTTCTCCACTCAGAATCTAACAATCAAAATTATAAGAATTTCTAATGGTTGTGGAAAGTCTCAAGAATTTGACAAACCTCGTTTTTTCAATACACGAAATGATACTCAGAAAATATTTAAGACTTGTCACTGCATCTTTATTAACTGATTATACAGTTTGTAAAATAAATTTATCATATTTATAAACTTACGATTTTTAACATCAAGACATGATACACAGACAGCTAGGAGTCCAGCAACAGCTACAGGTGACATGAGTGCCTTGTCACTATGGTATGGACTTAAGGTCAGGGTACCTTTACCCAGATGTGTTAGTCCTTGGGCCAGTCTGACCATGAACAGATTGTTGGCATCCTTGCCATGGTACACAGCTAATTGTCTCAACATGGCAGCCAGACGTGCATTGTTTGTACCTATAAATACACAAACCATATTTTATTCTTGGAATATGTAAGACAGAGAAACATCATAGCATCATAAAAATAGACAATTATCCTAGTTTTACATACTAAGTAAAGTTTTTTTTAAAAGAGTTTATAGATATAATAGTGTACTTTAAACTATCGTGCAGTTTATCTGAATTCTAATTAGTGTTAAATACCTTGTTCTATGATGTGTCAAAATTATTTACAGTTTTCGGGATGTGCTATTTATTGAAAGTCTTCAAAGCTATTTAATCTTATGTCAATTAAAGTAAGACATTTTGTATGACTATCAAATGGAATAATACGAAATGAGAAATTAGGAATAAAATTTTACTGACCTGCACCAACCAGTCCCATTGCTAGGATAGCATTATGAGCTACCTCAGGGTCATTGTCATGAGAAAATTTACTAAGTGTGTCTAGGATCTGTAGTTTAGGATTAGACACTGATATCAGACCTAAAGCTACTGGTACGGCTCTCTTGATTGCTGTCTCTCCATACCGTAACTACAAATATATATTATCAAATACTGCATGAACATCAATTACATATAACTTAGTTTGTCCATTCTTAAAACAGACTTTTTTCTGACATTTAAATATCAATAACATATACCTGAATTTTTCATGCTACAACATTATTTTCTATCATCCATTTGCTTTTTACTGAAATCTTCCTCCCATATAATAGATTACTAATTTACACATTAAATATACAGTAAAATATGTAAATAGATCAATATAGTACTTACCAAATGTCCAAAAGCTCTGAAGGCCATCTCTCCACCAATATCTTCTCCCATAGCTATCAAAGCTATACCTAGTACTGCTACACCTATAAAAAAAAAAGAAAATGTGTCCAAATGTGTATATTATGAGAAAATAAAATGCTCCGCAGGGCGCAGCTTGATACGACCGCAGAGGTCGAACCCTGAACAGTTGGGGCAAGTATGGACACAACATTCAAGCTTGATACAGCTCTGAATTTGGATTGAGATTAAATATTTGACACAGCATAGGTTTCTAACACAGAATGAATGTGGTCTTAGAACTTAAAAATTTTAAATTGGACATTCACCTATTATGGTCCAATATCCAAAATCTAAATACATGGTTAGATTCAGCATATCAAAGAACCCCAAGAATTCAATTTTTGATGAAATCAAACAAAGTTTAATTTTGGACCCTTTTGACCTCAATGTGAACAAAGTTGATAACGGGGCTCAAAAATAAAAAATCTAAATACATGGTTAGATTCAGCATATCAAAGAACCCCATGTATTCAATTTTTGTTGAAATCAAACAAAGTTTAATTTTGGACCCCGATTTGGACCAACTTGAAAACTGGGCCCATAATCAAAAATCTAAATACATGTTTAGATTCAGCATATCAAACCCTAAGAATTCAATTTTTATTAAAATCAAACTTAGTTTAATTTTGGACCCTTTGGACCTTAATGTAGACCAATTTGAAAACGGAACCAAAAATTAAGAATCTAAATACACGGTTAGATTTGGCATATCAAAGAACCCCAAGAATTCAATTTTTGATGAAATCAAACAAAGTTTAATTTTGGACCCTTTTGACTTCAATGTGGACAAAGTTGATAACCGGGCCCAAAAATCAAAAATCTAAATACATGGTTAGAGTCAGCATATCAAAGAACCCCATATATTCAATTTTTGTTGAAATCAAACAAAAGTTTAATTTTGGACCCCGATTAGGACCAACTTGAAAACTGGGCCCATAATCAAAAATCTAAATACATGTTTAGATTCAGCATATCAAAGAACCCTAAGAATTCATTTTTTGTTAAAATCAAACTTAGTTTAATTTTGAACCCTTTGGACCTTAATGTAGACCAATTTGAAAACGGAACCAAAAATTAAGAATCTAAATACACGGTTAGATTCGGCATATCAAAGAACCCAAATAATTCAATTTTTGATGAAATCAAACAAAGTTTAATTTTGGACCCTTTGGACCTCAATGTGGACCAATTTAAAAACGGGGCCCAAAATCCAAAAATCTAAATACACGGTTAGATTCAGCATATTAAAGAACCCCAAGAATTCAAGAATAAAACCCCATTGAAATTGGTCAAGAAATAAGCAATTTATACGAAGTATCTTCTTTTGCACAATACTGTGCAATTGAATATTTCTTGCTATTGCGCAATACTGCACAATTGACAATTTCTTGCTATTGCGCAATATTGTGTTATTGGATATTTCTTGCTATTGCCCAATACTGTGCAATTGAAGATTTCTTGCTATTGCGCAATACTGTGCAATTGAAGATTTCTTGCTATTGTGCAATACTGTGCAATTGAAAATTTCTTGCTATTGCACAATACTTATTATATAATAATTTACACATTCTGTTTGGTGTTTATCTCCTACCATATCATTATTATTTGCTTTTAAATATAAATCCTAAATAACCAACTTAAAATGGAAAATTAAAAAAAAAAAAAAAAGAAAAAAAAAAAAAAAAGGGGGAAAACCCCCCCCCCCAAAATTTTTTTGAACCCCCTTATGATTCATCACCCCCAAACTCAATCCCAGCCTTCCCTTTGTGGTATGGTACCTTGCAGTACAATTTCAGAGAGATCCATACACTTGATCACAAGTTATTGTCTGGAAACTAGAAAAATGCTTATTTTTGGCCCCTTTTTGGCCCCAAATTCCTAAACGTTTCGGGCAATTACCCCCAAACTCAATTCCAGCTTTCCCTTTGTGATATGGAACCTTGTAGTACAATTTCAGAAATATCCAAACACTAACACACAAGTTATTGTCATGAAACTAGAATAATGCTTGTTTTTTGCCCCTTTTTTGGCCCCTAATTCCTAAAATTTTTAGGCAATTACCCCCAAAATCAATCCCAGCATTCCCTGTGTGATATGGAACCTTGTGGTACAATTTCAGAGAGATGCATACACTTGAACACAAGTTATTGTCTGGAAACTAGAAAAATGCTTACTTTTGGCCCCTTATTCCGAAACGTATTGGGCAATTACCCCCAAACTCAATTCGAGCTTTCCCTTTGTGATATGGAACCTTGTGGTACAATTTCAGAAATATCCAAACACTAACACACAAGTTATTGTCATGAAACTAGAAAAATGCTTGTTTTTTGCCCCTTTTTTGGCCCCTAATTCCTAAAATTTTTAGGCAATTACCCCCAAAATCAATCCCAGCATTCCCTGTGTGATATGGAACCTTGTGGTACAATTTCAGAGAGATCCATACACTTGAACACAAGTTATTGTCTGGAAACTAGAAAAATGATTACTTTTGGCCCCTTTTTGGCCCCTTATTCCTAAACGTTTTGGGCAATTACCTCCAAACTCAATTCCAGCTTTCCCTTTGTGATATGGAACCTTGTAGTACAATTTCAGAAAGATCCATACACTTACACACAAGTTATTGTCATGAAACTAGAAAAATGCTTGTTTTTTGCCCCTTTTTTTGCCCCTAATTCCTAAAATTTTGAGGCAATTACCCCCAAAATCAATCCCAGCATTCCCTGTGTGATATGGAACCTTGTGGTACAATTTCAGAGAGATCCATACACTTGAACAAGTTATTGTCTGGAAACTAGAAAAATGCTTACTTTTGGCCCCTTTTTGGCCCCTTATTCCTAAACGTTTTGGGCAATTACCCCCAAACTCAATTCCAGCTTTCCCTTTGTGATATGGAACCTTGTAGTACAATTTCAGAAAGATCCATACACTTACACACAAGTTATTGTCATGAAACTAGAAAAATGCTTGTTTTTTGCCCCTTTTTTGGCCCCTAATTCCTAATATTTTGAGGCAATTACCCCCAAAATCAATTCCAGCATTCCCTTTGTGATATGGAACCTTTTGGTACAATGTCAGAGAGATCCATACACTAACACACAAGTTATGTCTGGAAGTTACAAAAATGCTTATTTTTGGCCCCTAATTCCTTAACTGTTGGTACCATAACCCCCAAAATCAATCCCAACCTTCCTTTTGTGGTATTGAACCTTATGGTAAAATTTCATAGAGATCCATTCACTTAAACTAAAGTTAGAGTGCGAAAACCAATGTGTCTTCGGATGACGCCGGACGAAGACGACGACGACGCCAACATCATACCAATATACGACCGCAAAAATTTTTGCGGTCGTATAAAAATACTATTAAGAAAATATTTCTATTTAGATTACAAAAGGAATATTGAAACAGTTCCAAATGATAACTGAAAAAAATGCAGTGACTAATCGCTGTATTTGAAACAAGAGTGCACACGCTGAAATGTCTCGCCTTCTTTACTCATCATTGATATTATGTTGATAGTCCTAAATATAAAGCTTTATTACAACTGTCACATAAACTTAACATTAACCAAGTAAACTAAACATTGACCAATGAACCATGAAAATGAGGTCAAGGTCAGATGAACCATGCTAGGCAGGCATGTACAGCTAACAATTCTTCCATACAACAAATATAGTTGACCTATTGCTTATAGTTTAAGAAAAACAGACGAAAACACAAAAACTTAACACTGAGCAATGAACCTTGAAAATGAGGTCAAGGTCAAATAAAACCTGCATGACTGCCAAATAGATCATAAAATATTTCCATACACCAAATATAGCTGAACTATTGCATATAGTATTAGAAAAAAAGACCAAAACTCAAAAAACTTAACTTTGACCACTGAACCATGAAAATGAGGTCAAGGTCAGATGACACCTGCCCGCTAGACATGTACACCTTACAATCATTCCATACACCAAATATAGTAGACCTATGGCATTCAGTATAAGAAAAACAGACCAAAACACAAAAACTTAACTATAACCACTGAACCATGAAAATGAGGTCAAGGTCAGATGACACCTGCCAGTTGGACATGTACACCTTACAGTCCTTCCATACACCGAATATACTAGACCAATTGCTTATAGTATCTGAGATATGGACTTGACCACCAAAACTTAACCTTGTTCACTGATCCATGAAATGAGGTCGAGGTCAAGTGAAAACTGTCTGACGGGCATGAGGACCTTGCAAGGTAAGCACATACCAAATATAGTTGAACTATTGCATGTAGTATTAGAAAAAAAGACCAAAACTCAAAAACTTAACTTTGACCACTGAACCATGAAAATGAGGTCAAGGTCAGATGACACCTGCCCGCTAGACATGTACACCTTACAATCATTCCATACACCAAATATAGTAGACCTATTGCATACAGTATAAGAAAAAACAGACCAAAACACAAAAACTTAACTATAACCACTGAACCATGAAAATGAGGTCAAGGTCAGATGACACCTGCCAGTTGGACATGTACACCTTACAGTCCTTCCATACACCGAATATACTAGACCTATTGCTTATAGTATCTGAGATATGGACTTGACCACCAAAACTTAACCTTGTTCACTGATCCATGAAATGAGGTAGAGGTCAAGTGAAAACTGTCTGACGGGCATGAGGACCTTGCAAGGTACGCACATACCAAATATAGTTATCCTATTACTTATAATAAGAGAGAATTTAACATTACAAAAAATGTTAACTTTTTTTTCAAGTAGTCACTGAACCATGAAAATGAGGTCAAGGACATTGGACATGTGACTGACATAACTTCGTAACATGAGGCATCCATATACAAAGTATGAAGCATCCAGGTCTTCCACCTTCTAAAATATAAAGCTTTTAAGAAGTTAGCTAACGCCGCCGCCGCCGTAGCCGCCGCCGCCGGATCACTATCCCTATGTCGAGCTTTCTGCCACAAAAGTCGCAGGCTCGACAAAAATAAGACAATTAGTGACCGAATGACACATGAATTAAACGAAGGCACAGCAAGAGTCTAATACATAGCGGCGTTAGGTCACAAGTGTTCTTATCTTTTATATTCAAAAACGGCAATTAGTTTTACTTTTAATAATACGGAAACAGAATATCAAAACTTTTTTCTGTGTTACTGGCTTTAGTTGGATTCACTTTATGTATTGTTGATTTCACTATACTTTTTTGGTGTATGAATATTTGTGTATTTCACACAGTTGTCAAAATTGCAGACAGAGCTCCAGATAAGCTGCGTATTTGCGTGATTATGCAATAAAAACAATTGAAAACTCAATTCAATTGACAATTGCAGCGATCAAAAACCCAATTCATGCAAAGGAAAACCCAATTATGTCAAAACTATGTGTTCCCAACCCTAATTGTCGCTATCTTGTGCGTTATTTACCCTAAATGATAAATTGTTGTAGCGTAAATCTATTTTTGTAATATTAGGAAATTAGAGTTAGGAAATCTACTTTCGTTCTAAAATAGAGCGTTACATCAAATATCTGATCTGGGTCCCTGTTGGAAGAAATTGTCAGTTATTGTCCCCGGTAAACATAAGGGACCAGTTTATAAAATTTTCTTTGGCAGATCAGATCATGTCGGAGAGGCGGAAAAAAGCACTACTAGTAACAAAATGGTATATTCTGTTGAACTATTTGACAACAGACTGTTGTGCGGAAGCATAAAAGTATGCAAGTCACATTATCAATTCCTTAATGGAGAAGGCGACAGATCCAAATATATGTGACATTTTAAACGAAATCATCAACGGTGTCCTTTCTTCCTTCGATGAAAATACTACTTAATTTTAGCAAAGCCACACAGTGTCAGATAAGACATTCTTTGCCTGGAAAGGAAAGAACCCATGGCTAAATAAAATCGATTATATGGGGTTCTCATATATATATTGCTCTGAATGCAAGTCTACAGCAAGCCATCAGACAACAAAATTACAACATGTACAAGTGTTTGGGGCCACGAAGGGACCCCAAATATTCAGCTGTCAGCAGGGAAAAGACAAAATGAGTGCTGAACATATGGATATCATCAATAAAAATTTACATATTGCCTCTGATATTGTATGTGATGGTAATGAAGCAGTCTAACTCACACTTCACTCTTATAAATCATGACAAAATTTTGTTCAAAGCCATTTACCATACTTGGAAAAATAATGCCGACAAGCAATGTCAATGAATTGTTATAACCCGAACATAACCAGGGGTGATCGTATGTGCTCTAGAAAGGTAATCAGTTACAGACCCACTAGTAACACCAGTTTATATAAATTGACAGAAAATACAAAACTGGCAGAACAGTTGAAACAAACCAGACACAAATTAAACAAAATAAAATGCTCCGCAGGGCGCAGCTTGATACGACCGCAGAGGTCGAACCCTGAACAGTTGGGGGAAGTATGGACACAACATTCAAGCTTGATACAGCTTTGGATTTGGATTGTGATTAAATATTTGACACAGCATAGGTTTCTAACACAGATTGAATGTGGTCTAAGAACTTAAAAATTTTAAATTGGACATTCACCTATTATGGTCCAATATCCAAAATCTAAATACATGGTTAGATTCAGCATATCAAAGAACCCCAAGAATTCAATTTTTGATGAAATCAAACAAAGTTTAATTTTGGACCCTTTTGACCTCAATGTGGACAAAGTTGATAACGGGGCCCAAAAATCAAAAATCTAAATACATGGTTAGATTCAGCATATCAAAGAACCCCATATATTCAATTTTTGTTGAAATCAAACAAAGTTTAATTTTGGACCCCGATTTGGACCAACTTGAAAACTGGGCCCATAATCAAAAATCTAAATACATGTTTAGATTCAGCATATCAAAGAACCCTAAGAATTCAATTTTTGTTAAAATCAAACTAAGTTTAATTTTGGACCCTTTGGACCTTAATGTAGACCAATTTGAAAACGGAACCAAAAATTAAGAATCTAAATACACGGTTAGATTCGGCATATCAAAGAACCCCAATAATTCAATTTTTGATGAAATCAAACAAAGTTTAATTTTGGACCCTTTTGACCTCAATGTGGACAAAGTTGATAACGGGGCCCAATTATCAAAAATCTAAATACATGGTTAGATTCAGCATATCAAAGAACCCCATATATTCAATTTTTGTTGAAATCAAACAAAGTTTAATTTTGGACCCCTATTTGGACCAACTTGAAAACTGGGCCCATAATCAAAAATCTAAATACATGTTTAGATTCAGCATATCAAAGAACCCTAAGAATTCAATTTTTGTTAAAATCAAACTAAGTTTAATTTTGGACCCTTTGGACCTTAATGTAGACCAATTTGAAAACGGAACCAAAATTTAAGAATCTAAATACACAGTTAGATTCGGCATATCAAAGAACCCCAATAATTCAATTTTTGATGAAATCAAACAAAGTTTAATTTTGGACCCTTTGGACCTCAATGTGGACCAATTTAAAAACGGGGCCCAAAATCCAAAAACTAAATACACGGTTATATTCAGCATATTAAAGAACCCCATGAAATCAAGAATAAAACCCCATTGAAATTGGTCAAGAAATAAGCAATTTATAGGAAGTATCTTCTTTTGCACAATCCTGTGCTATTAAATATTTCTTGCTATTGCGCAATACTGTACAATTGACAATTTCTTGCTATTGCGCAATATTGTGCTATTGGATATTTCTTGCTATTGCGCAATACTGTGCAATTGAAGATTTCTTGCTATTGCGCAATACTGTGCAATTGAAGATTTCTTGCTATTGTGCAATACTGTGCAATTGAAAATTTCTTGCTATTGCACAATACTTATTATATAATAATTTACACATCCTGTTTGGTGTGTATCTCCTACCATATCATTATTATTTGATTTTAAATATAAATCAGAAATAACCAACTTAAAATGGAAAATTTTAAAAGAAACAAAAAAGGAAAAAAAGAAAAAAAAGGAAAAAAAAATAAATCCCCCCCCAAAATTTTTTGAACCCCCATTATGATTCATCACCCCCAAACTCAATCCCAGCCTTCCCTTTGTGGTATGGTACCTTGCAGTACAATTTCAGAGAGATCCATACTCTTGAACACAAGTTATTGTCTGGAAACTAGAAAAAAATGTGTTTTTTGGCCCCTTTTTGGCCCCAAATTCCTAAACGTTTAGGGCAATTACCCCCAAACTCAAACCCAGCTTTCCCTTTGTGATATGGAACCTTGTAGTACAATTTCAGAAAGATCCATACACTTACACACAAGTTATTGTCATGAAACTAGAAAAATGCTTGTTTTTTGCCCCTTTTTTGGCCCCTAATTCCTAAAATTTGGAGGCAATTACCCCCAAAATCAATCCCAGCATTCCTTTAGTGATATGGAACCTTGTGGTACAATGTCAGAGAGATCCATACACTAACACACAAGTTATGTCTTGAAGTTACAAAAATGCTTATTTTTGGCCCCTTTTTGGCCCCTAATTCCTTTACTGTTATTACCATAACCCCCAAAATCAATCCCAACCTTCCTTTTGTGGTATTGAACCTTGTGGTAAAATTTCATAAAGATCCATTCACTTAAACTAAAGTTAGAGTGCGAAAACCAATGTGTCTTCGGACGACGCCGGACAACGACGACGACGCCGAACGACGACGACGCCAACGTCATACCAATATACGACCACAAAAATTTTTTTGCGGTCGTATAAAAATTGCTCGTCAGTGTTTAAACTTGAATAAAACACCTATCACATACATACTTGAAAGAAATGTATTTAAGATAACAGTGGATTAACATCTTTGTTTGATATGATCACATATGACATGCCTCAATTCAATATTTAGAAGATGAAAAACCTAATACATTCAGGAGATTGGTGGTGAAAAACCCAATTTGATATTTTCTTGAGGGGTGAATTGGAATTATTAGTGTAATTGAAAAAAATATTTCACTCAATTACATCAAAATTGGTAAAAACCCCAATTTGTGAATTCTTATCTGGAGCTCTGGGCAGATCCTCACTTTGAGAAGATTGATGCAGATTTTGCTGTTATTGTGAAGCAAGAAGTTGTTTTGAATGCACCCGGACTATTAATTGTTGATATGCAACACACTTAATCAATTAGTTTAAAGTATCAAGGCACAAATCTTCAGTAGGAAGTCTAAAGTGAGGGTACAGTAAAAGGCTTGAAATGTCCCTAGAGTGAAAATAAATGAGTTATTTTACATGAAAGATTATTGGAATTTATCACAATGGGAAATTGATATAAATCACCATCATCTATGTAATAACTGGTTTTTACTAAAAAAAAAAAAATGTATGCGGTCTTATATTCCCATATGTGAAAAATCTTGAAAAACTGAGATCTACTTTCTACTTAGATGAGAAAAGATAATATTAGAACTTTACTTTGTTGTGCTGACAGATCAGAGGTTGCTGTTTCTTTTGATTTGTCTTTTTCCTTTTCTTTGTCATCTTTCTTTTTCTTATCATCCTTCTTTTCATTATTATCCTACAAAAGTTACATCACTGGCTTTGATAAAATCATCTACACATAAATGAATATTTATTCCTATAGTCTTACTCCTGATGAGGAGAAACAAAATTATATCAATTCATCGCTGTTCTAATAACATGATAAAAGTTTTATTAACTATATAAACATGCTGTTGATATATACTAAATCAAATTCTTTGTCTTATGTCAAAAAAGATATGTAACTTTTATTTTAAAAAAAATTCCTTACAAATTCTAGTCATAAATAGAAAAAAGATTTGCATGTGATTTTGAAGGTCTAATTAATCTAAAATTCCTAGAACCAGTTCACTCTCAAAACACCTTTGCTCATAATGAACAAGCTGTTCCTGAGTGTTAATTGTCAAAATTTGACAACTGATGGCAAAATTGTTTATTACTAGATACGTATTGAGAGCCTGCTTATATATCCCATTCTCCTTTCTAGCTATTTACATTTCCTTCGAACGGGAGCAATCAAGATTTGATCAAAAAAGTATATCTGAAATTGATATTTTACAAAGTTTGTGATCATGACCTTCATCTAAGATTTCAAAGATTGAATGGGCACAAAAAAAAATATAGATGTTGACCCCATTATTCAGAAAATCTAGTTTGGCCAAGTATCTCTGTTCGTAGAATTTCTTATTCTTTATAGAAACACCCATACCTCATCTTTCTTTTCATCGTGCTCAGAACATATATGTTGGAGTTTCTGTATCTTTAACACATTTCCTGTCCCTGTATAAACAAAGTATTAATGAGATGGATTATCTTGAAAATAAAAGATATTTAGATATCCACTTTAAATATACAGCTTTATTTATAACATAATATCCTCTACCAAAAGCTGCAAAGGAGGTTTAAAACATTCAAACTGCTACATGTTATAATCACTACAGACAATATTATATCATATGAAAGAATGTTTAGAGAGCAAAAAGTAAAATAACAAAAATATCGAACTCCAAGGAAAATTCAAAATGGAAAGTCCCTTTATCAAGCTCACATACCTCAGACCCCCCACTTCTGTTTACTATAATGTATGATTCTAACTCAACAAAATAATTAATATAGGATGTTTTTACACGTCATGGCAACAACTAAGAGTTGAGGGACAGACTGACAGGTTAAAAGCATCCTTCAACTTTGTTCCACAGTTAAATTATTTTATTGTTGCATGTCAAATTGACTCAATGTAATTCTTATAAATTTATAAGGTTGCTTTGTTAATTTTTTGTCAATCGGTAATCACTATCTTTCCATTTAGTAATTCCAGATAGCTATGAGATGAAAACATACCTGCATATGCACAGACTTCTACTAACAACATGGCCATTGATTTCAGTGGCTCTGCAATAACTTCTAATGCCATCAAAGTGGCATCAACCGCTTCCTGTTTACCTACAAATTTAAATTAATCAAATACTGTAAAAAATGTTGTTTCAGATCACAACCTAACCTCTTTTTTTGGTTAAAATTGTGAAAAATAAGCAAATCAGCCTGTTCATAAAATTCAATGCTGTTGTATAAAACAAAGTATGTGGGTATAAGGAAGGAATGTATGGGAAACAAATTTGGCACTTTGATGTGCAATTGCCAGTTCCACTACACCCAAACCCCTAAAAGAGACTAAATTATTGAATTTTTTTTGGTTGTTTATTAAGCAGACCCTGACATCGAGAAGAACATCTGAATATTATCATTTTTCATGCAAATAGCCTCATCGGTCAGCAAGTTGAAAAGGTTGTAATTGTATATTATGCAATATCTGGAGTCGAGACACGTATAAAGGAGTTTTAATGGCAAGAAAAGATCTTACTCCATCAATCAAAGTATAATACTTTTATTGGAACCATAAATCACATTTTAACCTAGAACAGATGCATATAAATCTTGTTAAGGAGTTACTAATACCTATTTAACATTATTTGTGACAAATAGGCCTATTTGACATAATCAAATAAAATGCTCCGCTGGGGCGCAGCTTGATACTACCGCAGAGGTCGAACCCTGAACAGTTGGGGCAAGTATGGACACAACATTCAAGCTTGATACAGCACTGAATTAGGATTGTAATTAAATATTTGACACAGCATAGGTTTCTGGCACAGAATGAATGTGGTCTAAGAACTTAAATTTTTTTAATTTACCTATTCAAACCATATCATTATTATTTGCTTTTATATATAAATCAGAAATAACCAATTTAAAATGGAAAATTTTAAAGAAAAATAAACTGCTTCGCTGAGCGCAGCTGGATACGCCCGCAGAGGTCTAACCCTGAACAGTTGGGGCAAAAATGGACACAATATTCAAGCTTGATACAGGTCTGAATTTGGATTGTAATTAAATATTTGACATACATCTATTATAGGTTTCTGAATAAATGTAGTCAAAGAACTTGAAGTTGGTCATATGAATTGAATTTATATTCAATTAAAGATTTCTTGCTGTTGTGCAATACACTGTGCTGTTGCGAAATACTTAGTAAATCTGTTGTCAGACTATAAACAAATAAAATTCATAAAATTCTAAAGGGAGCTTACATCAATAGATATAAACTGTTCACCAAAGTTTCATACGAATTGCTGAAAGCATTTTTGAGTTTTTGTCTGAAAACTGGAAAATCCCCCCTTTTTTAATGAATAAACCCCATAATTCAGAAATGTAAAATCTAAAATTTACAAAATTCTAAAGGGAGCTTACATCAATAGATATCAACAATTCATCAAAGTTTCATGAGAACTGCTGAAAGCATTTTTGAGTTATTGTCCGAAAACTGGAAAATCCCCCTTTTTTTTTATGAATAAAACCCCATAACTCAAGAAACGTAAAATCTAAAATTTATAAAAATCCAAAGGGAGCTCATGTCAATAGATATAAACAATTAACCAAAATTTCTTGCAAGTTGGTGAAAGCATTCTTGAGTTATTGTCCGAAAACTCGAAAATCCCCCTTTTTTTAATGAATAAAACCCCATAACTCAGAAACGTAAACTCTAAAATTTATAAAAAACGAAAGGGAGCTCACGTCAATAGATATAAACAATTCACCAAAGTTTTAAGCAAATTGGTTAAAGCGTTTTTGAGTTAATGTCCGACATGTTGACGACGGACGGACGGACAGACAAATGGACAGACGGACAGACAACGGTATACCATAATACGTCCCGTAAACGGGCGTATAAAAAGGAAAAAAAAATCCCCTCCCCCCCAAATTTTTTGAACTCCCTTATGATTCATCACCCCCAAACTCAATCCCAGTCTTCCCTTTGTGGTATGGTACCTTGAAGTACAATTTCAGAGAGATCCATACACTTGAACACAAGTTATTGTCTGGAAACTAGAAAAATGCTTGTTTTTTGGCCCCAAATTCTTAAACTTTTAGGGCAATTACCCCCAAACTCAAACCCAGCTTTCCCTTTGTGATATGGAACCTTGAAGTACAATTTCATAAAGATCAATACACTTACACACAAGTTATTGTCCTGAAACTAGAAAAATGCTTGTTTTTTTGCCCCTTTATGGCCCCTAATTCCTAAAATTTTGAGGCAATTACCCCCAAAATCAATCCCAGCCTTCCCTTTGTGGTATGGTACCTTGCAGTACAATTTCAGAGAGATCCATACACTGGAACACAAGTTATTGTCTGGAAACTAGAAAAATGCTTATTTTTGACCCCTTTTTGGCCCCTTATTCCTTAACGTTTTGGGCAATTACCCCCAAACTCATTTCCAGCTTTCCCTTTGTGATATGAAACCTTGTAGTACAATTTCATAAAGATCCATACACTTACACACAAGTTATTGTCATGAAACTAGAAAAATGCTTGTTTTTTGCCCCTTTTTTGGCCCCTTATTCCTAAAATTTGGAGGCAATTACCCCCAAAATCAATCCCAGCATTCCCTTTGTGATATGGAACCTTGTAGTACAATGTCAGAGAGATCCATACACTTACACACAAGTTATTGTCATGAAACTAGAAAAATGCTTGTTTTTTTCCCCTTTTTGCCCCTAATTCCTAAAATTTGGAAGCAATTACCCCCAAAATTAATCCCAGCATTTCCTTTTTGATATGGAACCTTGTGATACAATGTCAGAGAGATCCATACACTAACACACAAGTTATGTCTGGAAGTTACAAAAATGCTTATTTTTGGCCCCTAATTCCAAAACTGTTGGTGCCATAACCCCCAAAATCAATCCCCACCTTCCTTTTGCCGTATTGAACCTTATGGTAAAATTTCATAGAGATCCATTCACTTAAACTAAAGTTAGAGTGCGAAAACCAATGCGTCTTTGGACAACGACGACGGCAGACGACGACGACGCCAACGTCATACCAATATACGACCTCATTTTTTTGCGGTCGTATAAAAAGCCAAGAATCAACCCTATACTACTTTTTCTCAATATGCATCAAACTTGATAAGCCAGAGCCAATCTAAAAGCTAAGTTTTCACAATATGAATCTTACCAAGATAAGCCAGAGCCAATCCTAAAGCTAGATATCTACTGTGTGTATCTTACCTAGATATGCCAGAGCTAATCCTAATGCTAGATATCTACTGTGTGTATCTTACCTAGATAAGCCAGAGCCAATCCTAATGCTAGATATCTACTGTGTGTATCTTACCTAGATAAGCCAGAGCTAATCCTAATGCTAGATATCTACTGTGTGTATCTTACCTATATAAGCCAGAGCCAATCCTAAAGCCAGATATCTACTGTGTGTATCTTACCTAGATAAGCCAGAGCTAATCCTAATGCTAGATATCTACTGTGTGTATCTTACCTAGATAAGCCAGAGCTAATCCTAATGCTAGATATCTACTGTGTGTATCTTACCTAGACAAGCCAGAGCCAATCCTAAAGCTAGATATCTACTGCGTGTATCTTACCTAGATAAGCCAGAGCCAATCCTAATGCTAGATATCTACTGTGTGTATCTTACCTAGATAAGCCAGAGCCAATCCTAATGCTAGATATCTACTGTGTATATCTTACCTAGATAAGCCAGAGCCAATCCTAAAGCCAGATATCTACTGTGTGTATCTTACCTAGATAAGCCAGAGCCAATCCTAAAGCCAGATATCTACTGTGTGTATCTTTAAGATCTGCTTCACTCCTCTCCATCATGGTCTGTAGAATGGTGGATGTAACATCAGCATTACAGCTACCTACTGCAATCATACCACAGGATAAAGCAGCCATTCCTATCACCTACAACATACATAAGACATTATAGGGATGATTAAATGGTTAGATAGAATGACATTGCAAAATGATGCAAGTTCAAAAAGTAAAGTATTCTTGACTTAAAGTAATTGTTTTTAATCAAATCAACCTGACATACAATATGGGCTTAAAGACACTGGACACCTTTCAAAATTTACATATATTTCAACATCATATGACAATAAAAGAAACATAATCACTACATAGTATAAATCATGAAGATACTATTGGCATAGCCTTATTACATAGCTACATAAATGACTACAAAGACAGACTTTCCCCTTAACCATAGGTATTCCAGTAACTGGGCCATTTATTTGCATTCTGGTGAATGGAAACTGAAATTTTCCCATGATCTTTCAGGTTATGATAGGTGAATTGTTTATAGTCATTTTATAATTAAAACTATTTTAAAAATGATCAACTGAAAACCTTATATAAAGTTCATTTAGCTGTCAGGATTTCTTTGAGAAATCAATAGTAGCTCAGTGATACCAATTCTCCAATAATACAATAAATATTTCTCAACAAATGCAGAATTATTGCCAGTGTTATCTATTAGACCAGCATCTGATAGAGGAGGACTGGGTCTAACTAACTACACACTTACTTCCATTGTACATTTAGTATCTCCTAATACAGGCAGAATTATTGCTAGTACATCTTCTCTGTTGGATCCAGCATAGGCTAAACCAAGTCTGAAAGGACATAGTACTATAGTCAAATTTCTACATCTCTATGAAGCAAACACACTTTTTATGGTGTAATTTGTTGAGAGTTTACAATCAAAGATTCAGACGATTTTTGTTATTTTTTTCTAACTTTCAATTTCCAATTCAACTTATATACTTTTGTTAAAACTTTCTAGTCCTGATTGTTTCCTTTTTTTGAAAAATTAAAACTGCAAAAATTCTAAATGCACAAATATTCAAATTTTTAAGTAAATGCATTTCCTTAAACTTGATCATTTATAAACAAAGACTTCATTATATAGGACTTTGAAAATATAATCTCCCAAGAAATGAATCTATCATTTTATACTAAAATATTCATTTACCCAACTATAGCACCAATTCTCATTATAGCTGTATTATGCATTACATAATCTGACAACAAGGCAACAGCTGGATCACATTCATTCCTAACTCCAGAGTTGACAATACCACAAGCAAGCAATGCCCCAGCCTGTAACAAAACAATGTAAAAAGTTTTGCCTTCTGTTCTGGTTATAATTACATAAGTCAATGACATTTCTTCTTTCAAATTTTTGAAGGGATGTATCATTACAACAAAACCAGAGTATCCTAAAAATCATTTAAAACGAAAGTATAACAGAGCATTTTCAGATCCTTGTAACCAATCTAGTTTATTTTTCAAAGTTGATTGAATTTGATTTCATAATATACTTGTAATATATAATAAAATGCTCCGCAGGGCGCAGCTTGATACTACCGCAGAGGTCGAACCCTGAACAGTTGGGGGAAGTATGGACACAACATTCAAGCTTGATACAGCTTTGGATTTGGATTGTGATTAAATATTTGACACAGCATAGGTTTCTAACACAGATTGAATGTGGTCTAAGAACTTAAAAATTTTAAATTGGACATTCACCTATTATGGTCCAATATCCAAAATCTAAATACATGGTTAGATTCAGCATATCAAAGAACCCCAAGAATTCAATTTTTGATGAAATCAAACAAAGTTTAATTTTGGACCCTTTTGACCTCAATGTGGACAAAGTTGATAACGGGGCCCAAAAATCAAAAATCTAAATACATGGTTAGATTCAGCATATCAAAGAACCCCATATATTCAATTTTTGTTGAAATCAAACAAAGTTTAATTTTGGACCCCTATTTGGACCAACTTGAAAACTGGGCCCATAATCAAAAATCTAAATACATGTTTAGATTCAGCATATCAAAGAACCCTAAGAATTCAATTTTTGTTAAAATCAAACTAAGTTTAATTTTGGACCCTTTGGACCTTAATGTAGACCAATTTGAAAACGGAACCAAAAATTAAGAATCTAAATACACGGTTAGATTCGGCATATCAAAGAACCCCAATAATTCAATTTTTGATGAAATCAAACAAAGTTTAATTTTGGACCCTTTTGACCTCAATGTGGACAAAGTTGATAACGGGGCCCAAAAATCAAAAATCTAAATACATGGTTAGATTCAGCATATCAAAGAACCCCATATAATCAATTTTTGTTGAAATCAAACAAAGTTTAATTTTGGACCCCGATTTGGACCAACTTGAAAACTGGGCCCATAATCAAAAATCTAAATACATGTTTAGATTCAGCATATCAAAGAACCCTAAGAATTCAATTTTTGTTAAAATCAAACTAAGTTTAATTTTGGACCCTTTGGACCTTAATGTAGACCAATTTGAAAACGGAACCAAAAATTAAGAATCTAAATACACGGTTAGATTCGGCATATCAAAGAACCCCAATAATTCAATTTTTGATGAAATCAAACAAAGTTTAATTTTGGACCCTTTTGACCTCAATGTGGACAAAGTTGATAACGGGGCCCAAAAATCAAAAATCTAAATACATGGTTAGATTCAGCATATCAAAGAACCCCATATATTCAATTTTTGTTGAAATCAAACAAAGTTTAATTTTGGACCCCGATTTGGACCAACTTGAAAACTGGGCCCATAATCAAAAATCTAAATACATGTTTAGATTCAGCATATCAAAGAACCCTTAGAATTCAATTTTTGTTAAAAATCAAACTAAGTTTAATTTTGGACCCTTTGGACCTTAATGTAGACCAATTTGAAAGCGGAACCAAAATTTAAGAATCTAAATACACAGTTAGATTCGGCATATCAAAGAACCCCAATAATTCAATTTTTGATGAAATCAAACAAAGTTTAATTTTGGACCCTTTGGACCTCAATGTGGACCAATTTAAAAACGGGGCCCAAAATCCAAAAACTAAATACACGGTTAGATTCAGCATATTAAAGAACCCCATGAAATCAAGAATAAAACCCCATTGAAATTGGTCAAGAAATAAGCAATTTATAGGAAGTATCTTCTTTTGCACAATCCTGTGCTATTAAATATTTCTTGCTATTGCGCAATACTGTACAATTGACAATTTCTTGCTATTGCGCAATATTGTGCTATTGGATATTTCTTGCTATTGCGCAATACTGTGCAATTGAAGATTTCTTGCTATTGCGCAATACTGTGCAATTGAAGATTTCTTGCTATTGTGCAATACTGTGCAATTGAAAATTTCTTGCTATTGCACAATACTTATTATATAATAATTTACACATCCTGTTTGGTGTGTATCTCCTACCATATCATTATTATTTGATTTTAAATATAAATCAGAAATAACCAACTTAAAATGGAAAATTTTAAAAGAAACAAATAAAATGCTCCGCTGGGGCGCAGCTTGATACGACCGCAGAGGTCGAACCCTGAACAGTTGGGGCAAGTATGGACACAACATTCAAGCTTGATACAGCACTGAATTTGGATTGTAATTAAATATTTGACACAGCATAGGTTTCTCACACAGAATGAAAGTGGTCTAAGAACTTAAAATTTTTTAATTTACCTATTTAAACCATATCGTTATTATTTGCTTTTATATATACATCAGAAATAACCAATTTAAAATGGAAAATTTTAAAGAAAAAAACATACATGTGATGGACTGTGAAACTCAGATCAGGAGATTGGAAAATTTTGGTCAGGAGATTAGGACTCAGATCAGGAGGTTTTTAATCGATATAAAGTTTGTCGTAAATGTAACCGTGTGCTGTAAAAATTGTCTTTTAAAGTGTGTTTTCTTCAACTTTCAATCCGAATGTATTATGTATTATGTTTATAGTACCCTTGTACTTATAAAGTTTCTTTATCTTAATATTCTACATGTTCAATCTAAGATTCTTTTTTTTTAGTATGTTCTTTAAATTATTCAATTCATATCTTTTATATCATTATTCTATAGGACAAACATTGCAATCAGATCATTTGTTTACCTATCTGCTTTTGCAGTTAGATTTTATTTGAATAATCAGAAACTCATTTAAATTTTGAACATGGGTCATAGTTATTATATGAATTCAATTTAAGCCTTGAAAGAAAGTATAGAACCCTCAAATAATTTTCAAATTATTATTTTTTGATTTGTCCTAAGACATTTAAAATCATTTAATTACCATCCTTTTATGATTATTTGTTCAATTTATATTTTATTTATATTCTTTTAAAAATTTACATTATTTAAAGGAAAGTAACTTAAAACAGGATAAATCAGGGGAAGTAACCCAATAAATACACAAAGTTTTTATTACACAACGGCAGTTAGCCTGAGGTAAAAATCGTTGATTACCAGTATGTTTGACACCCAAGCTGACAAGTGAAGCCATATAATTATGCATGTTAATTGATTTACAGGTAAAATATAACTTCAGGTGATGTCAGTTACACCAGATGTCTGAGATGATATGTTGGGCAGATTTCATACACAGGATTTTTTTCTCTTCAACGCGAGGTCGGGAGGAGACCCCTGAAAACGGGATTATTGTACTCCCGTCGGGAGGTTTACATGTATGAAAAAAAGAAAAAAAAATCCCCCAAATTTTTTTGAACCCCCTTATGATTCATCACCCCATTGGCCCAAACTCAATCCCAGCTTTCCCTTTGTGGTATGGTACCTTGCAGTACAATTTCAGAGAGATCCATACACTTGAACACAAGTTATTGTCTTGAAACTAGAAAAATGCTTGTTTTTTGGCCCCTTTTTGGCCCCAAATTCCTAAACGTTTAGGGCAATTACCCCCAAACTCAAACCCAGCTTTCCCTTTGTGATATGGAACCTTGCAGTACAATTTCATAAAGATCCATACACTTACACACAAGTTATTGTCCTGAAACTAGAAAAATGCTTGTTTTTTGCCCTTTTATGGCCCCTAATTACTAAAATTTTGAGGCAATTACCCCCAAAATCAATCCCAGCCTTCCCTTTGAGGTATGGTACCTTGCAGTACAATTTCAGAGAGATCCATACATTTGAACACAAGTTATTGTCTGGAAACTAGAAAAATGCTTATTTTTGGCCCCTTTTTGGCCCCTTATTCCTAAACTTTTTGGGCAATTACCCCCAAACTCAATTCCAGCTTTCCCTTTGTGATATGGAACCTTGCAGTACAATTTCATAAAGATCCATACACTTACACACAAGTTATTGTCATGAAACTAGAAAAATGCTTGTTTTTCGCCCCTTTTTGGCCCCTAATTCCTAAAATATGGAGGCAATTACCCCCAAAATCAATCCCAGCATTCCCTTTGTGATATGGAACCTTGTGATACAATGTCAGAGAGATCCATACACTTACACACAAGTTATTGTCATGAAACTAGAAAAATGCTTGTTTTTTGCCCCTTTTTGGCCCCTTATTCCTAAAATTTGGAGGCAATTACCCCCAAAATCAATCCCAGCATTCCCTTTGTAATATGGAACCTTGTGGAACAATGTCAGAGAGATCCATACACTTACACACAAGTTATGTCTGGAAGTTACAAAAATGCTTATTTTTGGCCCCTTTTTGGCCCCTAATTCCTTAACTGTGGGTACCATAACCCCCAAAATCAATCCCCACCTTCCTTTTGTGGTATTGAACCTTATGGTAAAATTTCATTGAGATTCATTCACTAACTAAAGTTAGAGTGCGAAAACTAATGTGTATTCGGACGACGACGCTGGACGACGACGACGACGCCAACGTCATACCAATATACGACCACAAAAATTTTTTTGCGGTCGTATAAAAAGGAAAAAAAGAAAAAAAGGAAAAAAAAATAAATCCCCCCCCAAAATTTTTTAAACCCCCATTATGATTCATCACCCCCAAACTCAATCCCAGCCTTCCCTTTGTGGTATGGTACCTTGCAGTACAATTTCAGAGAGATCCATACACTTGAACACAAGTTATTGTCTGGAAACTAGAAAAAAATGTGTTTTTTGGCCCCAAATTCCTAAACGTTTAGGGCAATTACCCCCAAACTCAAACCCAGCTTTCCCTTTGTGATATGGAACCTTGTAGTACAATTTCAGAAAGATCCATACACTTACACACAAGTTATTGTCATGAAACTAGAAAAATGCTTGTTTTTTGCCCCTTTTTTGGCCCCTAATTCCTAAAATTTGGAGGCAATTACCCCCAAAATCAATCCCAGCATTCCTTTAGTGATATGGAACCTTGTGGTACAATGTCAGAGAGATCCATACACTAACACACAAGTTATGTCTGGAAGTTACAAAAATGCTTATTTTTGGCCCCTTTTTGGCCCCTAATTCCTTTACTGTTATTACCATAACCCCCAAAATCAATCCCAACCTTCCTTTTGTGGTGTTGAACCTTGTGGTAAAATTTCATAAAGATCCATTCACTTAAACTAAAGTTAGAGTGCGAAAACCAAGTGTCTTCGGACGACGCCGGACGACGACGACGACGCTGGACGACGACGACGCCAACGTCATACCAATATACGACCACAAAAATTTTTTTGCGGTCGTATAAAAATATGAAGATGTGGTATGATTACCAATGATACACCTCTCTATCACAGACCAAATGACATAGAAGTTGACAATTATACATGTAGGTCATTGTAAGCTTACCTTTATAAAATCTTCAGAAGAATATAAATATTTATCTATCTGTGTTAATCCACCATCTACATCCCATAATAATATTAAACCTAACGATGCTGTAGCACTTAACATACCTGTAAAATATTGCAATATAATAGAAGCATACCTCAAATCTTTGGGAAATTTTAAATCTGGAGTCAATAAAATGTTCTTATTCAGTTCGTCCTTTAAAATAGAAAAGATTTTATAGACTGATAAGTACTCAAGTTTCTTAATCACTCACCTCATTGAAGTGCAGATCAGTTGAAAAAAATGCATATCAAAGATATATGACTCTAATATTGATGGCTATACATTTTTAGTTTGATAACCTTCACTGGATAATAAAAGCCCCACACAATTAGGAATAACTTGCATCATGACGTCATAAATAAGATGCCAACCTTATTTTCATATAAATTCCCAATTGGGCTGATGAAATAGGAAAATAAACTTCTATTTTCACTTAAATGTCATACAATGTAAGCTTACATGTTTTTTAAGTTTCTATTTCAACTTTTCATTCAGGTGTATTTTGGAGCTTTTGTGGATTTTTAAACAAATGATAATTACCTAGAGGTGAATCTGAATGTTGTAATCATTAATTAAAGAGTTTCCACAATGCCCAATTATAGTTTATAATTTTTTTTATCAAATTAAAAATTTCGTAATTTGCCATAAACTCTTAAATCAGAAAAAAACTCCTTTAATTTGATAAAATGCCTTAAAGTACTCTGAACATTTGCAAAACCTCATATATTATTCCCAAAATTTGGTGCTAGTGCCAAGTTGTATAAAATTTCAACTGCATTATCACAAATGCTACATAAATTGTACATATCAGTAATTTGAACGTATAGTTAAGGACATTATTTTGTGAATGGATTATATCAACATTTTCTAACATAATGAAAATGTTCAATTCACTTAAATTTATTAATATTTGCACACAATGTTCATATACTATAAACAATTTACCATGTTCCTTATTTTTATACAACCAGGTATTTCCGTCTTCCATTAACAGTTTATCCTGACCAAAAGCAGCATTAACAAAACCATTAACAAAGGATGAAGCTAGATTTTGTCGTGCGGAGTCTACTGTTGTACTGGGTAAACTACTTCCTGTAAAATAAAATACAAATATTAAGTTAAAATTTCTTGAAAGTTGTTCTTTTCTTGTACTACAACATGTATCAATAAAGCAGTTTGATCTTATGTAAAAGACTTTGATGGCTTATTCTTATTGTACTATTTAGATATACTTATGAATGTTTGTCTTTATTATACTTTAAAAAGTTTGCGAATCAAGTTTTTGCCACATTCACAATATTCCAAAGTTGCCAATTCTTTGGAATATTCCAACATCAAAATACTGTCATTGTTTTGTGTTTTAAACTCTGTCATCATGCCCCATTAAGATGCTGTTTATGGTTCCTATAAGTAATAGACTTACTGCTTTGTTCTAGATGAGATTTATAAATATCTTCTGGTACTTTTGGTTCCATGATATCCAACTACAAAATAAAATTTTTCCTACATATTGTACATACATTTATAACAACTATATATCTTTGAACTAGCTTTCAGTAACTGCGAGTACTCCTATTTCTATGCTTTGTGTCTATTGTTTTCATGTTTAATAGTTGTTTTTGTTCCTTGCACCAATCATCTGAGTTAAGCAAATTGCAAATGAGTTTTACAGTTAGTTTTTAGTTCTTATGTTGTGCTGTTACACCCCTTTCCCTGATTAGGGTGAGGGTTGAGTGCTCATAAATATGTTTAATCCTGCCACATTATTCATGTGCCTGTCCCAAGTCAGGAGCTTGTAGTTCAGTGGTTTTCATTGGTTCATGTCTGTCATATTTTTTTTGTAAATTGCTTTGTAATAAATTAGGTTAGTTTTCTCCTTTGAATTGTTTCACAATTTTCATGTCGGGGCCTTTTATAGCTGAATATACAGTATGGGTTTTTCTCATTATTGACAGACATACAAGTACCTATAATTGCTTACATCCACTTCATTTAAAACTCTGGTGGATAGTTGTCTCATTGACAATCATAACACATCTACTTATTTTAATAAAAGAACAAGGGGCATGCATTTCTGTTTCAATTGTGTTTATATTTTACTTTGTATGCAATGCCTTCTTATCATACTAAAATAATGGACACAGGATTTGATTTACCTATGACCTGAGTTAACTGAAATTAAAAAAAAAAAACAGAACTTTACTTAACTAATTTTTACTGAACTTCTCTAAATATGATTTCATTAATTTTTTTTTTGGACAACTGATTCCATCATATTCTACTTTCATGAACATTCATAACATATTCCTTAACCATGATTCCTTGACCAAGATGCAAATAACTATTATTTGAGTGAACAATTTAACACTTATTTCATTTATTTGTCATATACAACAATAAAATATATTTGATACTAAAGGGAATCAGATTGAACGTCATATATATTTCATACTATGGGGAATCAAATTGAACGTCACATGTATTTGATACCATGGGGAATCAGATTTAACATCACATATATTTGATACCATGAGGATTCAGATTGAACGTCACATATATTTGATACTATGGGGATTCAGATTGAACGTCACATATATTTGATGCCATGGGGAATCAGATTGAACGTCACATATATTTGATACCATGGGGAATCAGATTGAACGTCACATATTTGATACCATGGGGAATCAGATTGAACATTACACTTTAAATCTATAGTTCAGCCCTTACCTCTCTAGCTAAAGCTAAGAAGTTATTATTCAGATGAGCATTAGACATTATTTCTGTCAATTCATCAAATTCTTCTATATCATCTGGTAGTTCTAAAAATATCTGTTGTCTTCCTAACATGTATGCTAACTGTTTCTGCACCAATCTGGAAAAATAAAAATCAAATTACCAATTTGTGAAATTTACATTGACCTCACATTTTATTTCTATAAACTAATTTTAAAATGCACACTAAAACACTTTCAAAAATTCAGAGAACTGTCTACAGCTTTTATTATATTATTGCAACTTGCCTCGTCTCAATGCTAATCTGAAATATTCAAGAGATCCCCCATGATTTTTGATGGGGTTTGCTTTGCTCACTCTTTTGTTTTCTATGTATAGTAGTCTTATTTCTTTCTTTGCCATTGTCAGTATCTCCTTGACTTTTGAGTGTTGAATGTACCCTAGGTATCTTCCACCTCTTTTGCATAACTTAAAAAAAACTTTATTCTTACTTCCAGTTAATTATTACTTCTGTATCTTTCACGTAACAGTATAATTCTTATATTGTTCATATTTAAATGTAATACAAGTATAATTCTTATATTGTTCATATTTAAATGTAATACAAGTATAATTCTTATATTGTTCATATTTAAATGTAATACAAGTATAATTCTTATATTGTTCATATTTAAATGTAATACAGTAACAGCAGTTTCAACAATCAAATTTAAAATTTTTAACTATATATTTACTACAGTTGGTATAATTGACACACATTTTACATATTTTTAGATTCTACAATTTCCACTTACATATCTTTACAAGATATAAATATTTCCTCAACCAGCTTCATATCATTCAACTGCATAGCAAATCTAATGGCTTGTGGAAACTGGTTAAATTTACGATATAAATCTACAGCTGTCTTCATAAGTGTGATGTTCTCTGGGTCTGGTACATAGGGAACACAACTGAAGTAAAAACAATAATGTTAAGTTACAATATAAATCTACAGCTGTCTTCATAAGTGTGATGTTCTCTGGGTCAGGTACATAGGGAACACAGCTGAAGTAAAAACAATAATGTTAAGTTACAATATAAATCTACTGCTGTCTTCATAAGAGTGATGTTCTCTGGGTCTGGTACATAGGGAACACAGCTGAAGTAAAAACAATAATGTTAAGTTACAATATAAATCTACAGCTGTCTTCATTAATGTGATGTTCTCTGGGTCTGGTACATAGGGAACACAACTGAAGTAAAAACAATAATGTTAAGTTACAATATAAATCTACTGCTGTCTTCATAAGTGTGATGTTCTCTGGGTCTGGTACATAGGGAACACAACTGAAGTAAAAACAATGATGTTAAATATACATGAGCAGTCCTTCTCCATTCTCCATACTACACAAGATTTATAAACATGGAGTTTTGCAAGTAAGGAGCATAACTGTTTTCATTCCTTCTGAATTAAGTCATTATACCTACTACAAGAAATGTTGTCTTTTTTTCAGGACAAAGCCCAATGGTAGATATTCTCCAACTTGTGAAGATTAACAAGTTTTTAAAAGTTTCAATTTTGGAAGAATGTCAGTTTGTTTATCATTGGTATTAACAGCATAGCCTTAAACTACTGTCAGAAATTTGAAAGAGAGTGATTAATTTATTTACAGTGATTCAAACTGTGATGGTTCATTCATGCTTTAAAATTTCTCACTATAAATGGTATTTAATGACAACCTATTTGATCATACATAAATATAACAATGATCTTCAATGGAATAAATCAATAGTTTGTTTGTTAAACACAACTTTCAGCAACCTTTTCTATATCATGGCAACCAGTTTTTATTTGTGGAGGAAGCTTGAGTGCCCAAAAAGCACCAGCAACCTTCAGAAGGAATACTCGCAATTAACTCCATTTGTATTCAGCTTGCCTAGTATTACTGATCATAAGTTTTGTAATAGAAAATCTTCCAAAAGAAACAAAAACAAACCTGAGAATAATCTTACCTAGTTAAATATAAACAAACTCTAGGATAAGCATTTTCATCAACATAATTTTTGAGAATGTCTAATTTCTCTATTTCCATTAAAAGATCACAGGCCTCTGCCTCTGCATTGTGGTCCATATGATATGGGACAATTTCTTTGGTCATTGTTAACAATTTGTCTCTCATTTCTGTGTTCTTTTCCTCCAGATCCTGCCATTCTTGTGCAACCTGACCAGCTATATGTCTATAAACAAAGTAAAGATGTGAGAATTTCTAACTGTAAAACCTTTTTACTTGTTATCTTACTAACAATTCACAATAGTCTTCTTAAGGTTGCATTATATTTTTAAGTCTCTGCAATAACAGTTTTTAAGTGGCATTTTTTCTCATCTATTTAATTTACCTTAAAGTTTGTAATATCGTCCATTCAATATATTTTACCACAACAGAATTAGAGGATTTAAAGAGCATGCATCATTCACCTGGTACTATGTAAAATGTTATAAATGGTCAGTCTCAAACATAATTAACCATATCAAGCATCCTTTAGTTTGGCAGCACTTGGCCAATACATTCATCCCTCTTTGTCAGACTTTTGGCTTTGGAATCTTAATTCAGAAATAATGAACAGAAAGGGAGTTTTAATATGATATGAATAAAAGGAGATGTATGTTATGGCAGTATTGTACAAAAAGTGATGTGTTTTTCCTGAAGGCTTCTGAGAAAAATATGTCGAATGAATCTAGATGTATAAAAATGAGCTCTGTCTGGAGCAGCTGGATACGACCGCAGAGGTCGAACTCTGAACAGTTGGGGCAAGTATGGACACAATATTCAAGCTTGATGCAGCTCTGAATTTGGATATTGATTAAATATTAGACACAGTATAGATTTCTGACACAGAATAACCCCCAAAGTCAATCCCAACCTTCCCTTTGTGGTATGGAACCTTGTGGTACAATTTCATAGAGATCCATACATTTATACACAATTTATTGTCCAGAAACTTGAAAAATTCCTTTTTTGGCCCCTCTTTGACCGCTAATTCATAAACAGTTGGGACCATAACCCCCAAAATCAATCCCAACCTTCCTTTTGTGCTATTGAACCTTGTGGTTAAATTTCATAGAGATCCATTCACTTATACTAAAGTTATTGTCCGGAAACCAAATGTCTTAGGACGACGACATGATAGCAATATACGAAATGCAATTTTTTTGTGGTGGTATAAAAAAGAGTGAGTCTATCTGCCTATTAAGTATTTAATATGGGCAATTCAAATTTACATGTAAGCATCATGCCAACAGAAATTGATAATACTGCTTTTCTGTTTGCTCTTTTATTCCTGTAAAATAAGACATTGATTTTTTTATTGTCTATATATGATATACTGCTATTTTGTTTTGTTTTATAGTTTAATATTCAAATTACAATGCTATATCAACTTGACCATTTCTTTCCTTTTTATCTGAAAACTAAACTTACCTGACATATTCATGACCCCATGACCCTATTTCTTCCTTTGATCCCAGTATTCTGTACTTCAAGCTCTCTCTTGTATCTGATGTTGTCATTCCTAATACTGATACAATGTCAGCACAAAATCTCTACAAAAGTACAAATAAAATATAACCGTCTAATATACCTCACTCTTAGTCTCAGCCTATATATATCAGTTATGGTATAGCAATAATAAATACTGCAAAATGTAACTTATCAATTCCATGCAATTTTCCCGATTATTGTATAATCACTTAAAATGCAAATCACAATTTTATCACTAGATGTTAATTTCATTTAATAGTTACGCTATACATTATTATAGAAAAGTACCGTTTTCAGCTGTGTATAATATACTTATTTTTCCCATTTTAAGACCTTTGTTTTGAAAAATTCTCAAGCAAAATAATAACACATTTTAAAACCAAAAGATGTACTGTATGAAAGAATGAGACTCACTTTTGTTGTATCATCTTTGATCTTTTCATACACTTCTTTCAGAGATTCATAATGAGGTCGAAGGAACTTCAGTGGTTTAGGTACAGACGTCATAGATGTTGTTGATGCTCTTATTTGTGACCTCAAACTTTCTAATGCTGGCTTATAAAGTTTTTGATCAGATTCCTGTGAATAGAAATAGTTAGCTAAAAACAATTTACATATATACATATTTTCATAAACTTTGAACTTGCTATTTATGTTACATTTTCATTATTTGACTCAACAGGTGGATATATATAAAACAAGCATTCTGAGAGTATTGCATGGCAATACATAGTCCCCTACCGAGTAAAAATTCATTATACTGGAACAAAATGCTAACTTGTTCTATAACTTGTCATGGTGTAAACAAAAAGTAAATATCATGTCAATATCTTCAAGCATGACTAAAAACAGTGTTGAAAACTGATTATATGAGTGAATTTTTCAAGTCCAAGGACCATAACTCTGCACAAAATTATTAGACCTAAACAAAAATTTGAACTTGATCTGTAACTTGTCATGATAAAACTGTATACCAATTATCAATCAATATCTTATAAGCCTGATGAAAAAAACATTAGATATGATTGATAGTTCTCTAGAATTAGATATGATGTACAGTGTATATCTATTTCAAATTATAATCAGATATAATTAATAGTTCCAAATATTTTTTTTCTTTCATTTGTCACAAACTAATAATGATTTGTAACTTATCTATAAAATGTCAACAACTTTTATCTACATAATGTAATGTATTGAAATATATACATTAATGAAAATAGATTATTATCTAATTAAAGGATTTCTCTTCATAATTTTTTTTGGATATATATAGCATTCAGAAATTTATACTAAATAACAAACAAACCTGTCAAAAAATTCTTCAAATAATTTAACAAAGAATGTCTTTTAAAAAATGAGTTATCTCCCTTTGTACAGAAATATGGTTTAACATAGTACTCGTAACATTAGATATGGTCCAGAGTTATGGTCCATAACTCTGGACTAAATCATCAGACCGGAACAAAATTCGAACTTGATCTATAACTTGTCATGATAAAACTATATACCAAATATCAAATCAATATTTTCAAGAACGAAGAAAATAAATGTAGATAGTGTCCACATGTGTCCACAGATGATGCCCCCACTTGCATATCATATAGTTATAAAGGGACATAACTGAAGAACGGTAAAAGTGACACTACCAAAATTTGAACTTGATCCGAGTTTTGTGGTAATAAGCATTGTGTGTAAGTCTCATAACATTTGGTTGAGGCTAACTTAAGAAGAGAACAGAAACTAAAAATTCAGCAATTTTTCTATTTGTAAACACGCATAACTCTAGAACGGTTGTGTATAAGTTTTATAACATTTGGTTGAGACAAACTAAAGTTAGAGAATGGTAACAAAAAATTCAGCAATATTAGTGTTTTGTGGTAATAAGCATTGTGTATAAGTTTCATAACATTTGGTTGAGGCAAACTAAAACTAGAGAACGGAAACGAAAAATTCAGCAATTTTTCCATTTGTAAAGGGGCATAAGACTAGAACGATAAAAGTGACGCCACCAAAATTCAAACTTGATCTGTGTTTTGTGGTAATAAGCATTGTGTATTAGTTTCATAACATTTGGTTGAGGCAAACTAAAGTTAGGTGACGGACAAGGGTAAAACTTAATACCCCTCCGCTACGGCGGGGGCATAAAAAGTGTGGAAAGCTGATTTGCCAGACTGACAGTACAGACGGACAGATGGACAGACAGACGGAGTGCAAACCTAAAGTCCCCTTCGACTTCGTCGGTAGGGGACTAATAAACTGTTATCACAGAGATATGTCTCACCTTTTTGTAATTTTGATAATGCAAATGTTGAAATTAAAATAGCAATACTTTAACATGTAAGTTATACAAATATTCAAAGTCAATGAACCATGACTGAAGGTACATGGCTAAACAATCTCCATGGAATGAGATGTGCCAAGGTAATACAACTGCATACCAAATACCATTGACTTATTATAAGTCATTCCCTTTAAACAAACCTAAACACAAACATTAACTTGTAAACTATGTAAAAGTTTCAAAGTCAATGAACCATGATCAGGGGTGGGGCTATATAATCTCCATGGAAACAACACTTGCAAATGCTAATAAATTTGCATACCAAATATCATTGACTTAACATTAGCAGTTCATCTTAAATGATCTAATCACTAACTAATACATGTAAACTAAGCAAAAGTTTCAAAGTAAATAGACCATGACAGAGGGGGCGGGGCCAAATATTCTCCATGGAAATGAGATGTGCTAAAGCTTACACAACTGAACACCAATTAACATTGGCCTACCACTAATGGTTCTGCTTGAACTGACCTTATCACAAACTAATACATGTAAACTATGAAAGTTTCAAAGTCAATAGACCTTGACTGAGGGGGCGGAGCCAAATAATCTCCATGGAAATGAGATATGCCAATGCTTATACAACTGCATACCAAATATCATTGACCTACCACTAGTGGTTCCCCATAAATTGACCTTATCACAAACTAATACATGTAAACTATGAAAGTTTCAAAGTCAATAGACCTTGACTGAGGGGGCGGGGCCAAATAATCTCCATGGTAATGAGATGTGCCAATGCTAATACAACTACATACCAAATATCATTGACCTACCACTAGTGGTTCACCATGAACTAGACCTAATCACAAACTAATACATTGTTGACGTCGCCGCTGCTGCCGTTGGAAACAGCATACCTATGTCTTGCTTTTTGACTTCGTCAAGGCGAGACAACAAAGGACAGGGATGCAAACATATATGTCTACATACTTAATTCAACAATGAGCAACACCCATACTACTTATATAGTGAGCTATAAAAGACAGAATCATGACAAAATGTAAAACAATAAAGAGAGTAAACCAACAACCTGATTAAACAATAAATGAAAAACAAATACAGTTGACAGCAAACAATTACACTGAATTACAGGCTCCTGACTTGGGACAGTCGCAAAAAATGTGCAGGGTTGAACATGTTTGAGAGGGCTCAACCCTTCCGTAACCTGGTATAGTGGCGTAACAGCACAACATAAATCAAACTTGTAAAAATTTTGTATGAAAGGGCTAAACTCATCAGATTGGCACAAAAAAATCTAACAAAAAAACCAACAAGGGTAAACAAGCTGAAATGTCTCACCTGTTTTACTTATCATTAATTTCATGTTCAAAGTCTGTAACGGTTTTACTATAAGTATCACATAAACTATACATTATCAATGTTCTATGAAAATGAGGTCACAGTCTGATGAACAATGCCAAACAATCATGTACACCTTACAATCATTCCATACACCAAATATAGTGAGAAACAGATTAAACCACAAAATCTTAACATTGACCAATGGAACCATGAAAATGGGGTCAAGGTTATATGAAACCTGACAGACAGACATGTACACCTTACAATCATTCCATAGCTGACCTATTGCTTACAGTATCTGAAATATGCATTTGACCACGAAAACTTAACCTTATTCACTGATCCATGAAATGAGGTTGAGGTCAAGTGAAAGCTGTCTAACAGGCATTATGACCTTACAAAGTATGCATATACCAAATATAGCTATCCTATTACTCATAATAAGAGAGAAATTAACATTAAAGGAAATCTGAACTTTTTTTTCAAGTAGTCACTGAACCATGAAAATGAGGTCAAGGACAATGGACATATGACAGACGGAAACTTCATAATATAAGGCATCTATAAACAAAGTTGAAGCATCAACCTTCTATCTTCTGAAATATTAAGCTTTTAAGTAATAAGTTAACACCACCACTGCCTGTTCACAATCACTATGTCTTGCTTTCTGCGAAATAAGTGGCAGGCGAGACAAAAATCATGAAGCTCAGATATAATAGTACCCACAGTTACAGAAAGCTAGTTCCAAGACATTTTCATCTAAAACCATTTTTTCTCAGACTAAGATCATTTGAAAGAATTTTTTTTTAATGAATCGTACTACAAGACACTGACTGCAAGCATATCTATGCACTTGCCAATGTTGTGGATATTTTGGGACTACTGAAAGTTTCTCCTGCACCGTATATATTATAACAAGACTATTTCATACATTTTTTCTGATAAAGGAAGGCTTAACTAGAAAGAAAACTACAGATGAAGAACTGTTCCTTTGCTTTTTATGTGTTTTTTGCTGTTCATGTACTAATTTTGTGTCATGGATGGATACCCAATATCCTTTGTTTTTCTTTTACAGCATGTCTGATACAAACCTTTAATCTCTCTACCAACATGTTCAATTCTTCTTGTAACTGCTTATCTTCTTCTGACTGAAATGAAAAGTTTATTATAAATTTCTGTAAATCAACAATCATTATTTGGTTTAATTGTCACAGAATGATCTCTGTTAATATATTTTTCTATAATATCACAGAAGATATTCTACTATCAATAAAAGTGTTTTAAGGGTATTTCTTTGCATCTTAGTATGTGCAGCAAAAAAAAAAACAATTTCCTTTTTGTTATTGATAAACAAAAAAAAACATGGTAACAGAAACAGTAATTGAAGTCACTTTTCCAAGAACTTGACCACATTTTAAGTCGACATCATCACAGAATACTATGATTTCTCAATCTTAATTCTTCCTTTTCTTTTCTTTTTTGTTTTTCAGTTCAGTTAGTTTGAGTTAATTTGGTGTTATGCTGCAAATTTTTTGCAAATGTTTTCAGACAGATAAGTACAGATTTTGGTATATACTTTTAAAGTTTTTGCAGGTAAAAACCATACAGGTAAATCTGTACTTACCGGTCTTACCTTTCCCGCCTCCTAACCTGAGAAAGCGTTTTAATAATGAATATAGTATTCAGCCTCAGGTAAAGTGATCTTCTTTGTGGAGATAATCTAATTAGCGATTCTGTGTGACGTTACTAAGGCTATTTTCTCATTCACAATATATTTTTTAGTGTTTAATTCTATGTATACTATAGTGATGCTGTATATCTAAATATCTGGCTATTTTCTCTCTCACTGGGAAAGATCCTCAGAGATGGATACTATCCCCATTTATGGATATTATACCCGAAATCGTGTATCAATTTACAGTGATAAATCTTTTTTTTTAATGATATGGTGCAAAACTTTCATTTAAATGGTAACATTTTTCCCTTTGAGACCATAGTTCAAATAAGAAATGAATACAAAGATAGTGGCCCCCCAAAAAAACTACTTTTTGAGGGCTATTTGACTTTTATTCAGACTGATGATTCAGTCACAGGTCACATTGTCTTTAGGCAAAATTTTGTCATTTACCTGAATACATGATCTTCCAACAGGTGCTTTTTCCAAGAAAAATTTGACGCCACAAAGCAAATATCTTCATGTCACAATGTTCTTTTTCACGTTTTCCACAAAATTGCCCCCAAGTCAACTGGTGGCAGTTTATTCATAAGGCCAAATAAAAATACATGTGTGGTTCCGATTGCATGAAAATACAAAATAGGGTCTGTAGGTCTGGATTTTTGTTGATGCTTAAGGTTATGATATTCATTTTAAAATAAGATATCTAAGACCATGAATCTTTATGACACTTGTTTCACTCTTTTCTCCAGATTGTAATCATAATTCATATTAATATTAAAGACACTCCTATCTCTTGTGTTTGAAATAATTTTAAGTCTATAAATAACCAGATGCAATTTTGTATAGGGGTTTTCCCCCTATTTTCCTGCCAAAAAGCAGTGTTGTCAGCAAATTTGTTATCATGGATGTGTTTGCTTTAATAATCTAATTTGGAAATATATATTCAATTCAAGCTTTTATAAAATATTTATAGTAAGTATTGCATTAAAAAAAAGACTGAATATTCAACTTGGACAAACAAGGTCATGATGGTCAGGTAGAATGTCGTTTGAAATATACATGAGCACTTAGGCAATAATCTTCAACACACAACTAGGAAGGAAATAGACAGTTTATACTGCTATTGATGTAAAAAATTAATTAAGGGATCATTTCAACCATGGTTTTATTAATTATACTTCTGCACCTTTCTGTTTCAGTATACAACGGGGTTGAAAGTAGAGTCAGTCGCTATTTCTAACTGTTCATTTTTTATCAGAAAGGGAATAAAAGTGCTAGGGTCAGAAGGTTAAAAAATAGGCACTGGCTACGGTTACATTGCGTTATTGTTACATGAAAAACAGCAATGTACGATGGGACTAGTAATATATACTAAATAATAAAAGTTGAAGACATTTATTTTATATTTACAATACATACAATTATTACATACAATTTCTTTAATTTTTTATTTACAATGACATTTTCTACATACCCAGTAAGTGGTTTTATGAGCATGTTTAAGTCTGACACATTTCTGATGAAACCACTCCCAAGCAGCCATCGCACACCAGTGATGCCGCATTGTGAACGTCCGTATCACATACCTAGCACCTCGTCAACAGCTACGCCGGAATGGAAACACATCCCAAGATGATGAATCGGACTTAAACATACTCCAAAAACCACTTACTGGATATGTAGAAAATGTCATTGTAAATAAAAAATAAAAGAAATTGTATGTAATAATTGTATGTATTGTAAATATAAAATAAATGTCTTCAACTTTTATTATTTAGTACATATTACTAATCCCATCGTACATTGCTGTTTTTCATGTAACAATAATGCAATGTAACCGTAGCCTCAATAATTATTACATTCGTAATTAATCAGGTCCTTACCCAACCATGCATTCCGGCATTTAGTCTCCAATGTAACAATAATATTTTTATTATTGTTACATTTCCATGTAACCGTAGCCAGTGCCTAAAAAATATGGTCAGTCCGGAAACAGCAACCACACATTATATTTGGACTACTTGTCACTGTTGCTTCATGATGTTTCTTGTTGCAAATTAGTGAGACATGACAAATTAATGAAAACCAAGTGGTTCATTGGAATATAGCAAACAGCATACTTCTGGTCAAGTCCAAGAATGGATTCAGAGAAAAACAAGATATTTATACAATCTATATACCGAATAAAGCTCTAAGTGTTGATTACATATTATTTTATCTAACTGTGCATATTAAAGGGGGAGGGTCACATTCTACAGTACAATTTGATTAATTTGAAATAACTATCCAGATTTTACTCTGAAAAAAACATTAGAAGCCTAAAAAAACAATCATTACTCATAATAACTCAAAGCCTTTGATGCATCACATTAGCCGACAGCGATGCACATGTTTGGTACACAAAAGTTTATGACAATGCAGTTTTGGAAATTTCGACGTCCCTGTGGTTTATATCGATTAATTTAATGCTATTTCAATGATTGATTCATGTCATAAACTGCATTTCCGATTTATTTAGTTTATTATTTAAACTCTCGTACCAGTTCTTGTTCTTTATCGCCTTTTTTGTCTTTCTTTTCATCCTTTTTCTCCGGTGCCACCGGTTCCTCTTTTTTCTTGTCAGCCATGTTTGTTGGTCTCATGTTTTCACGTTTAGTTATAAATTGACATTCAATTGTAAAAAATATATGATACAGCAGTTATCCTTTGAATTCAATAACAACAAATAAAATGTCTATAAACATTAAAAATAAAATTCAAAAACTCGAATCGTTTCTAAAATTTTATCGTCGTTTCCCGTCATGCATTGCAAAAATATTTCTGAAGAGGAAGAAGTTATTCCAATGAAATTTTGTTAAAATGTCTTTATATTGCTCTGCGTAGTTTAACTTTCGAATTACAGAATTTTATAGTATTTAATTTCAATACAGCTTCACCTCCTATAGTTGATTCGGCATTTATTTTAGGTAAATAATGTAAATTGCAACGTTGAACTGGGTAGTTTACATAGTTTCCAAGGAAACATTTTCAAGAAATTGTAGGAATATTGAAGTTTATTGTTAATTTTTACCTTGAAAGCGCTTCCTGTTTCATATTTATATTATGTTATGACAAGAAATCAATTTGACATCCCGTCTTAAATTAAAACATGACCTCTTGCATTTGGGGGTACAAATGATGTTGAGATCCCCAAGGAATAGCCTGTGATGACATGTGATTTACTGAGAAGTTACTAGGCTATGAAAACTTTGAAAAATTGACAGTTTTCTAGGCTAGTAGTAGACTAAATGTTGGGAAACTCGTAATAAAATATGGGAATTTTGGAAGAAGCTGTTTCATTTTCTTTAAATTTATGCCATTTGGCCAAGTAAATTTAATTAGTAGATTTTCATCTAAATTTTTGAAAAAAATCGGGCGGATGGGAGGATTTTATTTTTTATTAGATATGAAACGCTCTTGTGACGTGTTCTTCATATATGCAAGTGTAATAATAAGGTTCTATCATGTATATACATGTATAACGAATCAAACATAAAAAGAAATGCAAAAACCAAAATTTGAAACAGAAAGTTATTAATGAAACGAAATTATCGACAGTTACCGGTAACGAAAATGAACAAAATCCGGAAATCGTAAATTTTTCAAAATAAAAAAAATTGGGGCGGAACGATTTCAGAGGGGCGGGCGGGGATGAAAATCTATGAATTAATTTTAATTGGCCTTTTAACTAGAAAAAGTAGATCTTGTGAAACTCAGTTTTTGGAATTTATAGATGATGTCACTAAAAATATTGAAACTTCAAAACAAACAGATGTACTTATAATGGACTTTTCTAAAGCTTTTGATAAAGTCAGTCATAACTTATTAACACACAAACTAAATTACTATGGGATACAGGGGAAAACAAATGCATGGATACAGGGCTTTTTATCATGTCATACCCAAGCAGTTAACCTAGAGGGTGAGACTTCAGGCTATGTCCCTGTGAAGTCAGGAGTGCCTCAAGGATCTGTTCTTGGCCCAAGTCTGTTCTTATTTTATATTAATGATATACCAGTTGGGTTAAAGTCCACCATACGCCTATTTGCAGCGTCACTATTGCTTACCTGGTTATAAAATCTAACAGCGATTGCGAAACCCTACAAAAAGATCTAAACACACTAGGCATCTGGGAACATACATGGAAAATGGCTTTTCATCCTGACAAGTGTAATGTTATGTCCATCAGTCGAAATCACATTCAATCCATTCAGTCACGTCTCAGTCATTACAACTGAATGGACGTGCTGGGTCAGCTCTCCTTTACCCGCTATCTTCGATGAGGGTTTACTGTTAGATGGATCAACGACTTACTACTTTCGATGACAGAAACCAATCCAACGCTATACAGACTACGGTAGGCTATAATCCGCGTAAGGCTAATTCCCGCATCAACATACACTCCAAAACCCATTATGGATGGGGGAGTGGTATGCCGAGTGACGTCCGAGGGCTGTATCCTAGGTGTTAGATGATGGACCACCATTTCACTGTCTCACGACTTTGGTCCTGATAATGCTTCCTGTCATCGTTATTACTACGTCCGAGACTCATCTACCAGTACTCCATCATCAAGGTTGGCGGGCTGCCAAGCTGACCAATCTGGCCCTGAAAGCAGCTGTTGTGAAGACATAACATCAAAATAGTCAACAAAAGAAAAACCAAAACAACTCACAAAACCAAGATGGCGGCCTACCAAAATAGCGTCCTCCACCTGTTCCTGACTGATGGCACAAAATTATTTAAACGCTCACCAAACGCCTTCGGGCACCGAGCCGACCGTGCGAGGGATGTATATCCAGTCAAAGTCGTTAAAAACTTCCATTTGTTGAAATAAAAATCCATTCACTTTCAATTACACTCTACATGGCCACGTTCTTGAACATGTTGACAAGGCAAAATACCTAGGCGTGACAATACAATCAGACCTAAAATGGCACAGTCACATAAACACCATCTGTAATAAGGCTAACAGTACACTAGGTTTTCTAAGAAGGAATCTTAACATCAGTTCCACCTCATTAAAGGAACAAGCATATAAATCTTTAGTCAGACCATCACTAGAGTATGCCTGTTCAGTATGGGATCCTTACTTTACTGAGGATATAAACAAACTAGAAAAAGTGCAAAGAAGGGCTGCTAGGTTTGTCACTAACCGACACAGAAACACGTCAAGCGTTAGTGACATGATATATCACTTAAAATGGAGAGACCTCGCACACAGAAGAACAGATGCATGCCTTGTCATGTTTTACAAAATCACATACCATCTAATCGCAATCACAAAAATAGACAGACTAATACAACCGCTCAGACAGTCCCGGAACATGCACGCACTCTCATACCAAATTCCATCCTGCAGAACACAAATACGCCAACAATCATTTTTTCCATGAACAATTAAAAACTGGAACAGCCTTCCTCTGAGTATTGTTATGAGCGACTCTATAGAGTCGTTCAAAACAGCCATCTCAACCTACACCTACAGTCAGTAAATTCATAATGTGTAAATAGTTTTATCTTAATATTAAAAATATATAAAATAAAAATATGCACTACCACTATGTAAAAATATTATTATCAATTTTTGTTTTTAATTATAAAAAATGTTAAATTTTTCACTGTATATACGTCTCAAAAAAGCAATGGGCAGTACAAGTGACATAAATTTCAAAGTGTTGAAGGTGGTCACTACAAAGTAGAAGTAGAAAGACTCTGCTGACCTGACATAAACAGACAACTTGGACAGTAAATAATTTAACTTGGAATGTCTATAAAGACAAAGTACTCAGATCGTCTAGAAGCCAAACTCAGAAGACGTTTTAAAGGAGAGTTTTGACTATATAATTGATTTAAAGGTTTAAAAAAGAAGCATGTTATTTTCAATCAAGAAAGACAGATATAAATTTTAATACATGTATATATATATTAATTTTGAGCATTTTCAAATTTCAGAAAGATGAGTGAAGGAGAGTGTGTAAAGGTCATTGTAAGATGTCGTCCCATGAATGAAAGGGAAAAGAATCTGAAGTGTAAAACATGCCTCTCTATGGAGTCAAAAAGGGGACAATGTACAATAAAAAATCCTGGAGATCCTAAAGCTCCTCCTAAAATGTTCACCTTTGATGGTTCCTACTTTGTAGATTCAGTAACAGAGAATATTTACAATGAAATAGCCTACCCATTAGTAGAGGTAAGATCTTCACTTTTATTCGTAATAAAATTTGTATTTTACAATTGTACGAAGGGAAACATTCAATTAAATGCAAGATTTGAAGTCTATCTTCTCTGATCACACTCTACACAGCTGAAATTTAAGTACTAAATAGTACTTTGTTATGAAATGATTGATTTATGTTGCTATCAGTATTCTTTGGCTAGATCTTTGAACATCTGATAAGAAGAAGATTGCCTTAAAAAATAAACAAGAAAGAAAAAGTATTGGTTTGATGTTTTATTGTTCTATATTAGTGTAAAGTAGATGTTCCCCTTAAATGTTTATCCAAAGGAACAGCACTGGCAGCTACTTTGATGATAGTTACTCATACTGAAGTCTTTCATGATCTTTATAAGAGATTTTACAGTAAAATGAAGACATAGTTTACATAAAGGTACTATTCCTTAGTCTATGTATTTGTGTACATATTTTCGAGTCCATGTCCTGTAAATTGTTTGTTTTAGACTTTTAATAGTTTGGATAAAAGTTTTACATTGTTATAAATCAAATATGAGAATTTGAGTCGAATCGGTGAACATGAATTTGACAGCTAGTGCTCCTTTAATATGTGGTAAAAATCCCCTAATTAATGTCATTAGATAACTGTAAACATACTGCATATTATTGTCTAACACTTGTGTTCTAACTTCATGCAAACAGTAGCAAGGAATTATGTATGTCATTTTTGTGAAATTGTAAGCATAGATCTACCAGATTATACTTAATGCAATCATTTTCAAACCCATATAAATAAGATGTGGTATGAGTGCCAATGAGACAACTCTCCATCCAAGTCACAATGTATAAAAAGTTAACAATTATAGGTCAAAGTACGGCCTTCAAAACGGAGCTGTGGCTCACAACAAACAGCAAGCTATAAAGGGCCCCAAAATGACTAGTGTAAAACAATTGAAACAGGAAAACCAACGGTCTAATCTATATTAAAAACGAGAAACCATGTTCTTATTTCCAACTTTTAATTTTGTTGTTTTTTATGGATACCAACAATGTCAGCAGCACAAACAATGATAACATCCCAACCTGGTTATAACTATGATGCTAGCAGCTGTCCCTACACCTAATACATTCTGTTGTAGACAAATTAATAAGATTTGTACATTTTTGAAATCTGTACATTATTTCTTAACTTAATCAGATTTAGTATAAACTAAAGTTATTTGTTTCAGGGTGTATGTGAAGGATATAATGGTACAATTTTTGCCTATGGTCAGACAGGTTGTGGTAAATCATTTACTATGCAGGGCATAGTTGATCCTCCGACGCAAAGAGGTGTTATACCAAGGTAAATATGGTAATTGTAAAGATTTAAGGTCACAACTGATAAATTCAAAATCAATATGAAACACAGACAAACATTCTGTACTAGTTGGCTTTCTTTTATTATTCTGATAATATTTTATTTGGTTTGATATGTGTTAAATCAAATTCATTTCCCAGTGAGCTGAGTATAACATTTCAGATGACCTTTTTCACCTAATGTAAGCATGCTAGTCATTGTTTAACCAATGCAGTTCTGTTTTTATTTTCAAAAGCCTCTTACTTTATCTTTTTTCCCATAGCTTTTGTTCATACATGTTTATTTATTTTTTCAGAACTTTTGACCATATATTTGAAACAGTTTCGGTAATAGAGGGTACAAAGTTTCTGCTACATGCATCCTACTGTGAAATCTACAATGAAGAAATAAGAGATTTATTGAGTAAAGATGTAAAAGCCAAGTTAGACTTACATGAACATCCAGATAAAGGAGTTTATGTCAATGGTAAATAATGTGTAGTCATATCATAACATCGTTTTGTTAACTTTTAAAGATATTTATTACATTGGTTGCAATGAATTACATTGATTTCCCAGTCAAATAAAAACTGATAATTTCACATGTGAAATAAACGTGGTTATTTCACTCTCTGACGTCATACAACAATAGGCGTTGTCAAGACGTCGATAACTTCGGATCAAAACAAATTGTGAATGCGTATAAAAAAGATATAGTTCCTTACATTTTCTACATTAATTTCATTAAAAAAAGCCATTTGCCAATGTAATAAAAAGAATAACTAATCAAAGAATTTAAATATTGAAAAATATTCAACTCGTGACCGAACAACACTGATAATTAACTCATGTGCTACGCGCATTCGTGAATTAATGTGTTGTTCGGTCACTCGTTGAATATTTTTCTCTATTTGAATTCTTCGATTAGTTATTCTATAAGTAGTCATATCATAACATCATTTTGTTAACTTTTAAAGATATTTAACAGGATGAAAGTGGAATTATGTTAGTGACAATCTACTAAATTAGGGTTATAGCAAGTAGGCCACACTCTAGTTGATTGGTTTCAGATTATCCTGTGACATTGAATGATGAAAATTAAATTTTCTTTTCCAGGATTAACAATGCACCCAGTACACAATGTAGCAGACTGTGAAAAAATTATGGAAAGAGGTTGGAAAAACAGAGCAACAGGGGCCACATTGATGAACGCTGATTCATCACGAAGTCACTCTATATTTAGTGTCATGCTAGAAATGAGCACACAGGACGAGGAAGGTGAAGATCATATCAGAGCAGGAAAACTCAACTTAGTAGATTTGGCTGGTAGTGAAAGACAGGCAAAAACAGGTAAGTGGCTGGTAGTGAAAGACAGGCAAAAACAGGTAAGTGGCTGGTAGTGAAAGACAGGCAAAGACAGGTAAGTGGCTGGTAGTGAAAGACAGGCAAAAACAGGTAAGTGGCTGGTAGTGAAAGACAGGCAAAAACAGGTAAGTGGCTGGTAGTGAAAGACAGGCAAAAACAGGTAAGTGTCAGGCAAAACAGGTAAGTGGCTGGTAGTGAAAGACAGGCAAAAACAGGTAAGTGGCTGGTAGTGAAAGACAGGCAAAAACAGGTAAGCAGATTTGTCTTTTTTGTTGCATCACCTTGAATATAATTATACCTTATACCCCACGCAACAGAGTTGCGTAGGGTGTAAATGTTTTTGTCCCGTCCATCGGTTTGTCTGTCCATCAGTTCTGTTCTTGTCATCACAACTCCTCTGAAATTACACACAACAGAATTTCAAGAAACTTTGTAGATAATAAGGACATACTATATAGATGTGCATATTGACAGAAAATTATGATTCAATTTTTTTTCTAGGAGTTATGCCCCTTTGAACTTAAAAGTTTTGCCTAAATATACTACTACAACATTTTGTCATCGTAACTCCTCTGAAACCACACGACAGAATTTCACGAAACTTTATTGATAATAAGGACATGTATACTATGTAGATGTGCATATCGACAGGAAATTTTGATTCAATTTCTTTCTAGGAGTTATGCCCTTTGAAATTATAATTTTCGCCATGCTATATACTATTACAACAGTTAGTCAGCGCAACTCCTCTGAAACCACACAACAGATTTTCTTGAAACTTTATAGATAATAAGGACATATTATGCAGATGTGCATATCGACAGAAAATTGTGATTTTATGTTTTTTCTTGAGGTTAATCCCCTTTGAAATTAGAATGTTGACCTAAATAAACTACTGAAACAGTTTGTCAGGGAATCTCTGCTGAAACCACATTACAGAATTTCATGAAACTTTGTAATTAATGAGGACATAATATGTAGATGTGGATATCCCATACCTGCCAACTGTCACTATTTGCGGGGGATTTCCCCCATGAAGGCTCACAAATGGAAATTTTGAAAGAGCAATTTTGTCCATACTTTTAAACAAAACAGTTAAATTTACAATGGCTATAGGCTTGTAAAAGTATGAAGAAGGCAAAAAACAACATTAAAATATATTAGAAGGCCCCCTTAAAGATTTTGTAGGACTATAAGAGCCATCTTGCACGTAAAACCCCCATGGGCATTTTGAAAAGTTGGCAGGTATGATATCCACAAGAAATTCTTATCAGTTGAATTTTGAAGGAGTTATGAGTCTTTGAACCTAGGAATCTGGTAAGATTTTGTTAGCCCAGTGACAATATGGGGATGTTGGGTATGTGAGTGTGCTCACAAAGGTTCTTAAATTTGAAATGATGTCACAATGCTTATGTTACTACATGAGTATGAATTCAGTGATGTCATTTACGCCAATTGACCTAGGCGTACTCATTTATAAAAAAAAGAACTCTAAACTGGTCTATAAACTGGATGTAATGACATAATGCCTAACAAGAAACTATACTAAATAGTAAACATACTTTGCATTATCAAAGAGAAATGTTTGATTCATTTAAATTTTCTTAATTAGAGAACCATTTGTTCAAAAACTTTAAAAAGTCTGTTAAATTTGTCAAGACTTAAGGGTTTTGTAAAAGTCTGTTTAATTTGTCAAGACTTAAGGGTTTTGTAGGTAAATGTTTCCATTTCTTGTTTGTAATGTACTTTACATTCTAAATTTACTCTTTTTCAGGAGCTACTGGTGCCAGATTGAAAGAAGCAACCAAGATTAATTTGTCATTGTCAGCCCTTGGTAATGTCATTTCTGCACTCGTTGATGGAAAATCTAAACACATACCCTACAGAGACTCAAAACTGACTCGTTTGTTACAAGACTCTCTCGGAGGTAACACAAAAACTCTAATGATAGCCTGTCTGTCTCCAGCTGATAATAACTATGATGAAACGTTGAGTACATTGAGATATGCCAATCGTGCCAAGAATATTACAAACAAACCCAAGATTAATGAAGATCCTAAAGACGCTTTGTTAAGACAATATCAGGAAGAAATCGAGAAGCTAAAAGCTATGTTAGCTGGAAAGATACCTGTACAGGCTGCAGATCCAACCTCATCAGGTAAGCTATTTCAGTGGGAAGGTACAATCAAAGCTCTTTAGGTAAGCTATTTTTGTGGGAAAAGTACAATCAAAGCTCTTCAGATAAGCAATTTTTAGTGGGAAAAGTACAATCAGAGCTCTTCAGATTGATTATGTTCAAAGGGAAGATTCCAGTACTTTAGATCAAAGTTTGTCTGATAGTTTCAATAAAGATAGTAAAGACTAAAATTAGAAACAACACTGCTAACATGTTTTCCCTCATAAAATTAAATTGATATCAGCAGTGTTTGTGAGAGGCCAGTAAGTATTTAACATTATCAGACCATTGGAAGAATGAACTATTTTAACAGAATTGGTTAGTATATCATGCCTGTAGCCCTTTCTGTTGAAAGATGTAGGAATTTTCCAGAGTTTAAATATATTAAATTTAGGTTGAGCAATCTAATATGAACTTTTTATGTTTTATTTATAGATTTAAAGATGCTATTACAACATTAAATTTTTTTGAAAGTATTCCAAAGTTTTCAAAGGTCTTTGGTATTTTTAACCCTGTAATAGTAACTGAGTTAAAACAAGGTGGCTCTCATTAGAGTCAGCTACATAAGAACATATTCATGCATCCTCCTTTAATTTCAAATAAGTTATGAAAATAGGATAGTGGCAATATTTTCACATGAAATTATTATCTTGAAATATAGATTGGTTAAAAATCTTGAAATTTCTGCATTATAATGTCACGAATGTTGTCACAAGTATTATAAGCTTGGATAGTAAAAGCGAACTTCTTTCCATTCTCAATTTTATTCTTAAGTTGTATGAATTTAACCAGTTATTCACTGTGATAATGCTTAAATTGAAAAATGTGTAAACTTTTCATTGAAACCAGATATGAATGATGACGATGATGATGACGGTGGTAAGTTCCTCATAGAAAACAATTCTGATCTTCATGCACAAATTAACATACAATGTACAGTGCATTGACATAAGTATTTATCACTTGTCATTTTCACTACATACTTCATAAGAACCACATTTTTTACCAAAATATTGTAGTAGGATGATTTCTGGCTGGATTTTTATCAACTTGGAATCACTAGGAGCTATTGTCTTAGGTTTATTTTTTTTATATCATGTCATAACTTTGTTATGAAGAGTTTTCCTATTCTGATGATTTAAGCTGAAGTGTAATTTTTTTTGTAAGGAAATTTGCTTTATTTCAACTAAAATGATAGTGTGACTAATTATCATGGGTGTTAACATGAGGGGAAAACAAAATCAATTGAAAACAAAATTATGACCAAATAAATGTTGAACTTAAAGACTATTCTTCGTCTTCCAAGACCTGGTTTGTAAAAATCCGACCACAAAAGCCTCTAAGATATTTTTTCAAATGTGTTATTAAGGAAATATGTAGCCAAAAATTGTAGGTGTCCAATATTTATGTCCATACATTTCATTATCTTGAAATTCAAACTTGTGTGTGCATGTCCTATTTTTGAATCACATGCCGTATGACTTTTCATGCACTACTTTACAAGAAGTTATGATCAATTTAATTGTATAACTAAAACATTATTTCTTTTAACTTTCAATAATTTTTATTGAGAAACTTTTAAGTACCTTACCTAGGAGTTATTAAAGAAACTTTCTTTTTGTTTAGTTTTATATTTCTCTGCTGTGTTCTAGATACTGTGGATTCTGTACTATTTATGGGTTACCAATTAACCTGGATTTCATGGGTACAGATGCACCCAAACATTAAATGTTCCAACGAAATACACATTAGCAATTTTTCTAGAGGCTTGTATGCAAACATTGACAAAAACCACAAAATCAAATATCCATGAAAATGCAATTTTTCTTGAATCCACGAAAATTAGTACCACGAAATAAACAAATCCACAGTAGTTAATACTATCATTAAAGACTGTTTAATGATTCCTATATCGATGGTCAATATTTGTGAAAAAAATAATTTTATTCTTCAGTCTTAAAGTTCAAAGTTGAAGTAATACACTGAGGATTTGATTGTAATACAAAACCTGTTAACATGTTTCAAAACCAGATAATTGATATAATTGATCAATGGACCCTGATTCTTTTGTATTTTAACATTGCACTTAATAAAAAGAAATGCACAAAAGAAATTATTAGCATCTGTTTGTTTATTATTTAAGTTTAATTTGAAGCACAATTCTGAAAATGAAATTAGAAAAGCTTTTGAAAATTAAGCTGACCCTCATTCTTTGTCGTCACTATCTGATGACATTGTTGTTAAGTTTTCTGGGTAATTCAGAATAATTTTAACATAATTCATATTTGTTACGCAGCTTAATTTTATCACTCAGCTTCTGTATTAAGATATGATTTGAAAATTGCTCTTGAACTTTATATTGCTGTGTTGTAGTGCGATTTTAAGATCTGCTGAACAACTACTTCCTGTTTGTCAATACCTTGAAATTTATTATACCCACTGAGGGTGGAGATTTTCATTACATATTAATTAGCTTCTGAATTAAGGAACTATTTGCCCCTGCACTTTATAATGTAGAATTTTAATGCGTAATAAAGTCCAGATCTGCAGGGCAGTCATTTCCTGTTAAATGATTCTTTGAATTTTAATTATACTGACTGAGCATTGAAGTTTTTGTCAATGTCTAATAATAAGTAGGGGTATACTTAACAAGAGACTACATGCAACATCTTGTGGAGTTAAGTCCCTTGTTTATACATGTTGCTGTCCCTGGAGCAATGTTTCTTTAGTGTTTCATTATTTCAGGTTCTAAACAGCAAGGACTTAATAGACAGGATTTGGAGGAGGAGAAAGAAAGAATTAGAGAGGTAGGGAAATTGTGTTAGATTGTTGTCTAACAGATACATGCCCTACATCTCAGATTGTTGTCTAACAGATACATGCCCTACATCTCAGATTGTTGTCTAACAGATACATGCCCTACATCTCATTTTGTTCATAGAAAAACATTTGAAGAAAGTTTGGTATTCTGACATCCAGTGAGAAAAAAAAAGCTTTCAAACAATAGACATTTACAATGACCATGTACTGTAAATTCAGAATTATTGTGAGGTTTCTATTAATGTAAATAATGCAACTAGGTGAGTATCGCAATGATAAGAACTTGCATTCTGATATCTTATACATACATGTATATCTGAATGCAGAGTTCCCTGAAATCACTATGATTAATTTCGCATTTTTGTATAATCTTCAAAAATCGCAATGATAAATGCATGCAATTATTTTTGAATTAACAGTATTAATTTATGCAATCACCAATTAGACAGCTATCAACCAAAGATCATAGGCAATAACAGATATTCTAATATGATGTCCTCTTTTGCTTTTGAAAACAAAGCCATGTTCTAATTCCAATAGAACATGGGCTGCACGTGATTGACGTCACAATTGAAATTGCATCAAAATGACTGCCTTTCGAATGGGTATGATAGATCTGCTTCGAAGATCAAAAGTTCTAACTTTTCCTATTAGAATGGAAATAATTCTATCATGCCATGCTCTATGCTCATTTTAACATGGGTAGGCATTATGTTTGTCAACACTCAAGATATTCACAAATATAATGTCTACCCATTAGCATAGAGCATGGCATGAAGAATTATTTCTTAAATGAAATAATTGTGAGCAGTGGGAAAATTTTTTAACATACAAAGAATAAACAATTTTTTATTCATTTAGGAATATGATGCAAGACTTGAAGAGATGAAAACAGAATATGAGAATGAGAAAGTTTCAAAGAATAAAATACAGAATGATATGGTGAGACTCCGGGCTTTCTATGACAACAAATTGTCTAATGTTGATGGACAGATTGCTGACCTTCCACCTACTGCTGCAGGTAATGGACATTACACTTATCCATATAGTATAGAATTAGTCAGTTAATCTCTTTTCATACTATATATTTGTGAAAAAGAATTGTAACATTTGAGGCATTTGTGGACAACTGTAAAATATGGGGAGTTTTATGTTGAATATGGTTTATCTGATAAAAAAAAAACATTGGACTTATGTTATTATTTTAAGGATTATTTTATGGTTCCAGAGATATGCCCATATACTCTTATATTCTGATACTAAACTAATAGGCCTAACATTGACAGAAGGCCGAAAAGGGGGATAGGGGAGGTTAGTGTGGTCGCACGATTGCCCTATTCTAGTGTCAGTGTTCTTGTGAAAGGTAATTATTTGCAGTTGTGAGACTAGACTATCCAGTAAATATTGAAGGGGCTGGAAAATATTTAATTCTATGTCATATTCAAGAAAATGATTGTTTGATATCAACAACCCAACAACTCAAGCCATCATGACAAACTTATTCTTAAGTAATTTTAATTTTGAGTTTGGAAAAGATGTGAGTGAACTCAACTGGCAAAAGAGAGAGAGTTGCGAACCACTGATTAGATTCTAATTTGGGACAGGCATATAAATGAGGCAGGATAAAACTTATTTGGTGTATAGTCAATCCTCCTATTTTCTCCATTAATTGAGGAAAAAATCATTTGATTAGTCCATGTAGTTCATTGGTTATAACAATGATGTAAATGAGGAGAATTCTTGGTAAGAAAATTATGATGAAATTAATTGGGAATATTGAATTGGTGAAATAATTGGTTTGCATTTTGTCTCTTGTTATAGTGTTTGAGTTAAGAGTGGTACATTATATTTTTTAATATATTTGTTTACCTTTAGGATATCTATGTTAAAAATTAAGTTTTGATAGTCCACATTTAAAACTTAAATGTTACAAATTCTGAATTTTAAATATATAAGTCATATGAAAAATTTATAAAATAGACAATGTTAAAGCTAGAAGCATAGAGATAATTTAGTCCTATAAAGAGCTTTATTTTTTAATATCTTAACTAAATCAATAGTTTAGTTTTGGCAAATAACGAAACATAAATGCCAATTTTATTTTTTATAATGCATGTTTTGTGATTTGAAAATTGTGATGTGCTACTTAAATGTAGATATGCTTGTTTATTTTTAAAGTGTATTTTAGATAATTATATTGTTGTTCAATATCACATATTCTTCATTACATCTTGGTTTTCTCATGTTCCATAACTGAAATCATCAGCCCTTATCTTGAGATTCCCAAATCATCATCCCATATCTTGAGATTCTTAAAAAGTACAGCATAAATCTTGAAATTTCCAAATTTTCAGCCTCTGTCTTTAGAATCCAAAATCTTCTCTTTTCTTAAGATCCAAAAACTCCAGTCCTAATTATGAGATTCCAAATCCAGCTCTTTTAAGTAAGTCTTTAGATTTCTGGATTCCTTGCCTCAAACTTGAGCCATGAAATTTCCAAATTTTCAGCCCTGATCTTGAAATTCAATGTTTTACAGATTGATTATCTTGTTTATGTTGAAATTTTTAGAGACTTGCTCTTATTTAAACATCTGAGAGTCTTTTCACAAAAAATCTCAAATATAAAAAATATATGTAAGTCTTACACAATCAGTACAACTGACGATCAATTTTAAACGTAAGATTTTTTGTGAAATGAGTCGTTGAAATCCTAAAAGTTTATGATAGGAACTTTTTTCATTGATTTTTGATAATTTGATTATATATCGACTGTTTGGTATAGATTTTGTTTCTATTCCTTTTCAACACATTAAATATTTATGGTTTTATATTATATCAATGAAATCAATTGAAAAACAATCCAATGTTTTGTGAAGTTTTTACACTCATCCAATTGTCAAGTTTCATTGAAAGAGACATACAGCAAATCATTACAATTTACATTTTAATTTATCTTTCTATATATCACAAAATTGCATGTATTGTAATGTTTAAAAAAATATGAAAGCATTTCTATGTTGCACAAATTAATTATATTACTGAAGTAGTTAATTAAAAGGGTAGAGCAGTGCAGTAGCTGCAGTCATTATTATTAGACTTAGTACTTAATCTCTAAAATAATGGATGTGTACTGCATATAATTTACAACAACTTGTTATAAGGTCCTCTGATAGTGGAAAGAAAGTTTACTTCTGATACCAAGGGAAGGCACTTTGAAATAACGTTACCACCCATAGAGGCAACTTTATAGACATTTTAAATGTGTACAACATAATATTTCATCAACCACCTATAGTGGTAAATTCAAGTTGCATTCCCTTAGTCCCATTTATGTTTTAATGGAACAGCCCTGAGATGTTGTGACATTTCTTGCATTTATTCTTTTATAAATTAAAACTTATAAGCAAATTTTATATTCAAGGGACAGGTTTCTGTAATTTTGTCCCTGCTTCAAGTGAGGGGCATACTGGTTAACCTCTGTCCATTCTTCTGTGTGTTGGTCATTCCAGGAAATTTTCATAGCACGATTTCAGGAACAATGAATCAGTCTTCGTGATATTTGGTATTCACCTTCATAAGATGCATGCCACGTGCAACTCTCATCAATTTCCTGTTTACCTGGATACTTATATATTTTACACATAATTGCCATTTATGAAATTTTTGTCACTTTTTCTCAGGAACTATGAATCAGAGCTTCCTGAAATTTGACACAAAGCTGTATGATATTTACTCATGTTGTTTTTCACTTGAGGATATACTTTTCAGCATTATCGATCCGTTTTAGAGATTGAGTAGTTTTTTTTGCTCTGTATTTTCATAATGCTTCAGAGCTTTTAATATAGTAATTGTATAATAACCAACATATATATCATGTAGTCTTAGGCGAGATAGAATGGCGAGATGAAGATGGAAACAGTGAGTTTAAAATTCTCCTTAATTATCACATTGCATGGACAAACACTGCTCAATTCTTGTCAAGAAATAAAGGATTAGTTCTCAGATAAGTCACCCCGGTTTTATCTTATTTGGAAAAAATTGTCAGTTCAATTCTTAGTTATTATACAAAATTCAGTTATTTCTGGTCATGATTTTATCATAATGCTAAAAATTTTATAGATAACATTAATTTAATTCAGTTTTTAAAGGTAATACAAATTAGGTCAAACTTAATCATGGTGACCATCAAAATTACCAATAGGTCAAACAAACTCGTTTTGTAAATGAATTTCGAACTAAATATGTAAAAAATTGTTAAAAATGTATTAAAAGGAGGTAATTAAGAATAGAGTTACATTTCACATTCAGATATTCTTTCTTGTACAGAAACAGAATTGAGCAGAAAATAGGCACAATGTTAACAGCCAATATTTCTTTACCTTCAATGATTTTTGTTAACAGAAATATTGGTTGTAGACTGAATCCTTAGCAGGTGATCTGAGAATGGTCTGGTATTAAAGTATTACGTCCAGTCACAGACAAACATATATCTCACATCACCTGTACAATTATCCCTTTCCCTTTTTGGAGTTTGGTTATTCTAGAAATAGTATCATCATTTGATATTTATTGTTGTAACAAATGTATTTTAGTCATATTTTTCTTTTGGCATATTGATATGGAAAATTATATAAGATGATCTAACATTGCCATATGGCTTTCCATTTATGATGTATTTTATAATCATGATACTATTTCACATTTCTCAAGTGTTTGACATTATATATATATACATACATACATAATTATGCTTACTTGTTTTCAGAATCTATAAAGGGAGACAATTTTTTATCTGTTATTCTTTTATTATTAAAAGATCCAAATTTGCAATCATTAAAAAGATATTTACCATGTTTTATTTCATGTAACGATCAAATGGGAAAATATTTAAGATTTCTCTGTTGGATGTCAGTCATGGGTATTTGGGACATCATAGTTCAATTTGGACACACAATTGTGATTCTCAGGTCTTACAAGATTTATTTTATTGAAGAAATACTAATGACCCAGATTATATTTGAAACCGATGTTAGACAATAAAAGTCAACAACTATAACCAGACAAAATATTACAAGGCTTTGTTCCAGCTTGTATCACAAATTTGCATGCTTGTGTTTTGCGTTATACTGATATTTGCATAAAGCTTCTTTTCATAGAATTTAAATTTATAAGCCACAAAGCAGCAAATCATAACAGTAAGAGAAATACATATACAAGACTTTACTGTTGTTTTTTTTTTTTTTGCTTTTGCACAACAAATTTTCTAATTTTGCACTTCCCAGCTTAAAACTGTGTGTGTTGATACATCTACAAGATTTGCTCCCACACAACATTAAAATTTGAGAAAATTTTAACGTAAAGGTGCTTAAATGAAATAATATTCATTTTGCTGTACGTGTTATTGTTACAGTTTTAGTCAATTCAGTACATTCATAAATAAATAAAATACCATATACATATATATAAGCAGATAAATGATTAAAAAACTATACTTCAAACCTGTATCCAAAAGCTGTTACAGTAATTGATAAGTTCACTGAAATTACAATTGTAAATCAACATTAAGATTGAACAAACAAATTTTAAATGAACTTCAAAATAGATCTTTTCTCAGAATCGTCATAAGCAAATTTATTTCAGAAGACTTTTTCAGTTTGTTTCAGTGAAGATGAGAGAGGTATTAGTAGCATCACACAACAAGAAGGTCACTCTGACCTACATTATATGCTTGACTGCAGATCTTAGACACTAAGTGACCTACATTTTAGTTAATGTCACACTGAAGTTGAATTTCACTTTCATAACAGTTTCAATTACATAAGAGCCAATTTTGGAGCAAGACAAACCTTTTGACATTAGTTAACTTATGTTTACCATTAAGTTCACTTGTCAGATAGTAGTGACTTACTGTCATATAACTTGGTGTATTTAAGTCAATCTAACATCCTTCCAAGATCTGATCTCTTTTCTTCATCATACAATGTTGAGCCTCATTTCCAAGTTCATTTGTCAGATCAAGTGACCTACTTTTCAGTCCTTTTCATACTATTTTAAAGTTAAAGTTGAGTTAAATTTCCTATTGATAACTGTTGTAGTTATTATTTAAGGTTACTGAGCCAAATTAGGGAAATAGGTGACTTTTTTATCTCAATATCTAAGTTTTTTTCTTCACTTTTTATTCTCAATAAAGAAGTTATCTCCAAAATAAAGAAGTTATCTCTAATGTCATGGACAGTAGCAATAATCTTACACTGAACCATATTCTTAAAGCACAACACTAGAAATTTATGAAATTAGAAATCGTGAGATAGAAATTTATGAAGTAAAATCTGTGACCGAATGAATTATAGTTAAAGAATAACCAATATAATGGTGGTATTTATTTTTGTTTAAGTTCTGTCCCACCCTGATCTGGAAAGCCTTGGTAAGTGTAATCTGCCGTTCTCTCTCTCTCTCTATCTCTGGTGTGATCAAAACTTCATATCACAGAAATACATAGAATTGCTTATATCCTCTTTGAATGCTGAATTTTTGTTCACAAATTAATTTATTGCATTATTTCTACTTCAGTTAGAATTGGAAAGCTAAAAATTTCACAATTTTTCGCTAGATTATTATTTGGCTGAAGCAGTTCTATGATTATTTCTTACACACACAAACATACACATCATTCATATTGCCTTTTGTTATATTTTTGAGGTTGTGGTGACCAGTTTGATTTGCATGTAATACTCCTCTCTTTGTTCAATACATGCTAACAAAGTGATTAAAAACAAGGAAATGGAATATTGTAACAAAAGACTGTTAACGTGATATGATTTTTTTTTTTTTATTAAACTCTGGACATTTAATTATACTTTCAATTTTAAAGTGTTTTGTTTGATGTTTTTTTTGTTGAAAAAAACGCAATTAAAACCTAAATTTTATGGACTTTAGAGGTAGGGAACAAAATTGGTGATGAAAATATAACAGAATAAAGAACAATGTAAATTAATAACAAGGAAGTAAATTAATAACAAGGAAGTAAATTAATAACAGGGAAGTAAATTAATAACAAGGAAGTAAATTAATAACAAGGAAGTAAATTAATAACAGGGAAGTAAATTAATAACAAGGAAGTAAATTAATTACAAAGAAGTGAATTAATTACAAAGAAGTAAATTAATTACAAAGAAGTAAATTAATTACAAGAAGTAGACAATAGTTTAATAGGCACCTGAAGATGACAAGATATGCATATTAACAGTCTTCTGCTTTGGCTGTTTTGCTTGTGTTTGAGAAATTCTTTAAAGCTTGTTTCTTTTTTGTGTGGTGAAAGGTCATATTTCCACATGAAGAGTTACAACTGGATATTTTACATCTGTTACCATAAAGGACTGGCCCCTAGTTGACTTCATAGCATTACACTTGCACATTTACATGTAATATCACCAGCTCTTCTAAAATTGGTTTTGTTTGAATATTCTTTTAGCAAACTCTATCAATAAAATGAAAGTTTTCCTTAGTTATAGAGAAGACCATCATAATACCTTTAAGATGGAGAAGATTCTCTCTACATAAAAATACCTACCGCTAGTTAAATCTACATGACATTTTTTTGTCTGAAAAAAATATTTCTATACAGTTTACCACCATATTTGAAAAAAAAAAGAAACGAGAAAGATCATCTTCAGTTTTTTTCTTCCAAGTGTATCTGTTTAAACTTAAATCTTGATCATGTTTATGGTTGAATGTGATAGTTTGCTGAAAGAATATGAAATTTGAAGGAGAAGTGTACTTCTGTAAAATCTTTAAACAAGTGTGACTATTTCTTAAGTTGGAATTATTCCATCAACCTTTCTTCTTACAATCTGTTTCACAGTGTGTTATTATATGGCTTTCCCATGGCTCTGCAACTTTATATTGGCAAAATATTTTTTAGATGTGTGGAATTAAGTTTTACATCCAAGTTCAGATCTTTTGATCATGTTGATACTACTATTTCAGAATGTTTATCTATTTGAGATTTAATTACTCAAGTTGAATTTAGAGAATAAACACAATTATTTTAAGGAAATAAAGTTCACTCTTTGCTACATTAGTATTTATGATAAATAACAATAACCTGACAATGATATGCTGTTAAATTACTTAAAACATAGGAAATTATCACTATAATTATTATATTCCATTATTAGTTGTACATGTATTTAAAGATGGAAGAAAAATATTTCCAAATGTTTACTTTTAAATTTAGAAACAGAACGAACGCAACCAGGGGGAGGAAAAGCATCACAAGCAAATGGCGAAGTTATCAGTGGAGAAGTCATTCAACCATCAAAAGATGGAACAACTACTATTAAACAAGCAGACGGCAAAGTTCTTGTCATCCCCCCAGGTGTCACTGCTGTCAAACAAGAAGATGGCACAATTGTACAGGTTCCAGAGGGGAAAACAGCTGTCAAACAGCCAGATGGCTCAGTTGTTGTGGTTCCACAGGGCACTAAGATTGTTTATAAGAATACAACGAATACAGAATATATCGTTAAGACCGAGTATGTGGAGAAAGAAGGGGAGGAACGACCATCTTCTGTGATGGGACAGGTCTTACCTGTTGGACCAGGTTAGTAGATTATAGTTGTCCTTGTATTTTATGTACTTCTAGACAACACAGACAAATTATCCTAAGAATAAAATGTCTAAAGAAAATTGTAGAGCCAAAATGGAATATATTTCTCTGCAGAATAAAATGTTTGATATATTTACTCCAATAAAACAAAGATAGCTATTAAGTTTCCTCTTTAAGTGATGGATACATTGGCACATAAGTTTTTATACGACCGCAAAAATTTTTTGCGGTCGTATATTGGTATGATGTTGGCGTCGTCATCGTCATCCGAAGACACATGGGTTTTCGCACTCTAACTTTAGTTGAAGTGAATGGATCTCTTTAAAATTTTACCATAAGGTTAAATACCACAAAAGGAAGGTTGGGATTGATTTTGGGGGTTATGGTACCAACAGTTAAGGAATTAGGGGCAAAAAAGGGGCCAAAAATAAGCATTTTTTAGTTTCCAGACAATAACTGTGGAACGGTGTATGGATCTCTCTGAAATTATACTACAAGTTTCCATACCACAAAGGGATGGTTAGGATTTGCTTTGGGGGGTTATGGCTCAAACCGTTTAGGAATTAGGGGCAAAAAAGGGGGAAAAACAAGGTTGTCCTGGTTAATGGACAAATACTTTAGTACAAAACATAATTTAAAGCAGTGTAAGGGAGATAAATCAAATACATCATTGAAATTACCTCCCTTACACTGCTTTTAAATTATGTATAAAGTAATGGTTAATGAACAATTAAGATAATTTAAAACAATGTAAGGGAGGTAATCCAAATACAACGTTTTGGTTACTTCCCTTACACTGCTTTTAAATTATGTTTAAAGAAATGCATATTCATAAAGGAAGACCAGTAAAAATATCTGCAAATGTTGCATCTTTTTTTTTTACAAAAAAATCCATATGAAAGATTTGACACTATATTTTAAATTCTATTATAAAATAGATTAAGTTAGCACTATGGTAAATTTAAATGGGTAATTATGGTTGCAAGCTCCATTGGAAATTTGAATTGAGATTATGACCATATCTTGAGGGAAAGAATTTTTTGGGGGAAAAAAAAGGGGGGGGGGGGGGTAAAAAGAAATTGTGGGGGGTCAATTTTTTCTCATTTCAGATTTCAGAAATTAAAAAGAACTATTCTTCAAATATTTTTTTTTTTCAAATTTCAAATATTGAAAAATTTTAAGAAGTAATCTTTAATTGCACAGTATGGCGCATTAGATTTGTAAAATCTTTGACCACATTTATTTATTTGTTATGCCGAATCTAACCGTGTATTTAGATTTTTTATTGTGGGTCCAGTTTTCAAATTGGTTTACATTAAGGTCCAAAGGGTCCAAAATTAAACTTTGTTTGATTTTAACAAACATTGAATATATGGGGTTCTTTGATCTGCTGAATCTAAACATGTATTTAGATTTTTGATTTTTGGCCCAGTTTTCAAGTTGGTCCAAATTGGGGTCCAAAATTAAACTTTGTTTGATTTCAACAAAAATTGAATATATCAGGGTTCTTTGATATGCTGAATCTAACCATGTATTTAGATTTTTTATTTGTTGGCCCCGCTATCAAATTGGTTCATATTGAGGTCAAAAGGGTCCAAAATTTAACTTTGTTTGATTTCATCAAAAATTGAATTATTGGGGTTCTTTGATATGCCAAATCTAACTGTGTATTTAGATTTTTAATTGTGGGTCCAGTTTTCAAATTGGTTTACATTAAGGTCCAAAGGGTCCAAAATTAAACTTAGTTTGATTTTAACAAAAATTGAATTCTTGGGGTTCTTTGATATGCTGAATCTAAACATGTGTTGAGATTTTTGATTATGGGCCCAGTTTTTAAGTTGGTCCAAGTTGGGGTCCAAAATTAAACTTTTTTTTATTCCAACAAAAATTGAATATATGGGGTTCTTTGATATGCTGAATCTTACCATTTATTTAGATTTTTTATTTGTGGGCCCCGCTATCAAATTGGTTCATATTGAGGTCAAAAGGGTCCAAAATTAAACTTTGTTTGATTTCATCAAAAATTGAATAATGGGGTTCTTTGACATTCCAAATCTAACTGTGTATTTAGATTTTTAATTTTGGGTCCCGTTTTTTAAATTGGTCTTCATTAAGGTCCAAAGGGTCCAAAATTAAACTTAGTTTGATTTTAACAAAAATTGAATTCTTGGGGTACTTTGATATGCTGAATCTAAACATGTGTTTAGATTTTTGATTATGGGCCCAGTTTTCAAGTTGGTCCAAGTTGGGGTCCAAAATTAAACTTTTGTTTGATTTCAACAAAAATTGAATATATCAGGGTTCTTTGATATGCTGAATCTAACCATGTATTTTGATTTTGGACATTGGACCATAATAGGTAAATTAAAAAAATTAAAGTTCTTAGACCACATTCTTTCTGTGTCAGAAACCTATGCTGTGTCAAATATTTAATCACAATCCAAATTCAGAGCTGTATCAAGCTTGAATGTTGTGTCCATACTTGCCCCAACTGTTCAGGGTTCGACCTCTGCGGTCGTATCAAGCTGCGGCCAGCGAAGCATTTTATTAATTTTTCTCATAATTTCTTAGGGATTTTATATTGCATGTCTATGATGTTTAAGTAATTAATTGGAAATTATTCAGAAACTTCTTGCCAAAAACAGTTGTCAAAGAAAATCTATAAACAAAAAATATCTTATTTCTTTCAGATGCAGAAGCCATGAAAATTATGACCATGGTAAGTTTAATCAATACGTTGTAAGTCATTTCTCAATTTATGCAGAGTTTTGGCATTTTTTCCCCCATCTTTCTTTAATACATGATCTTCCAACTTCCCAGAAAAATTTGATGTTACAAAGCAAATATCTTCACATCACAACTTCCCATGACGCATTTTCCCGAATGACCTCAGGTCAACCGGCGCAGTTCATTCATAAAATCCAAAATAAGAATCTCGTGTATTGCCATGTTGCTTATCACAAAAAGGACTTGATGGGACTGTAGACCCTGCCTATGTAAAGCAAATGGAAGTTGTATTGTGTATTGTGTGGAATCTGACAATTGTTTTGACTGCTAGTGTATAAAATGTTTGTTTATGGTAAAAAAAGGGGTTGCAATCAGCAGATTATTGATTTTCTGTCAAAATCAAAACATGAAACGAGTTCAAGGTTTAAAAGCCTAGTGTTGAGTGAGAAGGGAAAAAGTCAGAGAAGCACCAAAAAATAAACAAGACGGATAATGTTGAACAGTTAGAATTCGTTCACAATAACTTTTGTCAATAATGATATGTTTTCACCACAATTTTATGTTTTTTGCTAAATGTGACTACTGGGTATTAGCAGAAATCCTGCAGGGAGAAGCATCACTTTTAGCAGGAAGACTAGCCTTCCAGGTCAATAAATATAAGAGTCGAATGCACCTACCACAGGGAGGGTTGGTATTTACAACCTTAGTGTTGACAGGCTTTTGATTACTGTAGATGAACTGCTTAGAGCACTTGAATACTGAGGCCCCTTGAAAATGGACTATTGCCTATTACTAAGATTTATTTCGACTTTAATTCTCTATATTTTATTAGTGTTGTTGTGTTACATGCAATATTTTGGTTTATAGAATCAGCACATAGAGCCTGGAGGAGAGGAGGAGGAAGTTACTGCTGTCATGATAGATGGTGTACCCATGTTAGAACATGATGAAGGTCTGGTGGCACCTAGTTCTTCTCCTACTCAAACAAACATGCAGGACCAACTTAAAAACCAACAGGAAGAGGCTTTAAAAAGGTAAGGAATGATAAGGGTATAACAGTCTTAAAATTAAAAGATGATGCGGGTCTGATGAACCATATTTTCTCTCCAACTGAAATGGATATGAAGTGACAACAAAAACAGAGACAATAAGAGGTTTCAAAGTGGTGAAAAGATACTTACTCTGTAACTTTAATGGGATATTCAATTGCATACAAAAAACAGGAGTGAGATTAACATGATTAAGTGAGGAATTGTTAACATTAATGTAGTAGATCATCACAAGCAGTCCTGCATACTTATATAGCTATAGAAAAACATTATTCAAGAATGGATATACCGGGGGTAATGTGTTTTAAGAAATGTTTGTATTGGAAGGATGGTTGGCTAGGAATGTTACAATGCTATTCTATTAACACTTTAGTTGATGAGCTATTTTAATCATAATAATATATATATCTAATTACTGCAGATTACAAGAGTTGGAAAGACAGATGGTAGGAGGTGAACAGAGTGATAATGCAGAAATGAAAGAAAGAAGAAAAAATAGACAGTTGATTGCAGATGAAAGGAAGGAACGCCTAATGGGTAATTATTTGAACAGATATACTCTTTTATTAGGTTTATTAAGATATCACACTTTAATGTCTGGTCTCAATTTTTTTTTGTATCATATACATGTAGTTTGGTCCATTTCTTGGGTTATATATTGAGCTAGGACTATTTATCAATAAAACTTTAATTTGATATCAGTGATATGCAACATTACTTTCATTCCAATAAACTACAGTTCAGCCACTATGACCTTCTTTCATACTTGAATGATTTAGGTTATGTTTTATATGTAACTTTAATTTTCTCAGATACATGTTATTTATATTAATTATATTTGTGCAATCCTCTTTCAATTTAATAATCTTTGTATAATGTAAATCTAATGCTTGAGTGACTTGTTATTTGTGGTACTGATATATTTGTTTTTGTCAACAGAGGCCATAGCTAACATGGATGATGACTTTATCATGTTGGAGATTTATGATGATACTCAGGCAGAGTTACAAGCTAAAAATAAAGTTTTAGAGAAAGAAAAAGATAAGGTATAATAAATATGGATTACATTTGATTTGATGTGTACAGTATAACACAGTATAACTGGGATATGTTCATTAACATATTTATTAAGAATTTATGTGAAAACAACAGTAGTAAATCAACAGTTATATTATCTATAAAACAATGAAATGAGATTTAGGATGTAAATATTCGAAACTAAAATTCCTCATAAATCTTGAACATGTACAAGCCATTAGAAAAAAGAAATATGAATAAAATCTTGTATCACTGTCATTATAACCTTCGTAACTTATGTTAAAGTATAGCTTGAAACTGGTTTGTTTTTATTTTCTATATTCCATTTGTCAAATATTTATTATTCCAAGTATACAAATTTATATTTCAAAATTGAGAAATTAACATTTATAATCATTTCATATGTAGATTGAATCATTGGAAAGAGACATAATAGACATACAGTCTGAGTTCCAATTTGAAAGAATAGATTATCTTGATACAGTCCGCAAACAAGAAAGACAACTCTTGCTATTGGAAGGATTGTTAGAAAAAATGCATCCTTGTTTGAGGAGGGATTGTAATTATGCAAATATTGATAGAGTAAAGAAGGAGTGTAAATGGGATGAAGAAAATGGGCGTTGGATATTTCCCAGGATGCAGATTAATAATACAGCACTTCCTGTTGCAGGTAATTATCTCCTTATTTTGAATTTCTGGAACACATAGGTAATCATCAGTATTCCAAACATTAATATGCATTCCTTAAATTTTCAATATGACATATCATTATCCTGAGTCACATGCTAATTATTGACATATAATACAAAAACTATTCATTTATATGTAGAAATGAAAATGTATCACAAGCAATCACTCCATACATAACCTTTATAATCACAAGAGCAGCTATGTTGCACACAATAACATTGAATAACAGAAAAAAATGAGAAAAAAGAACATCAATTATTCATTAACATTCTTTAATTAAAGAGCAAATAGTAACCCGAATAATTCAGTCCCTCCCCGTGATCGACTCTCCCACTCGAGAGGGCCTGAACTCTTTATACGATAAAAACGCGTCACGAATCCAGGATTTTGATTGGTGCCCTCTGTGAGAGAGAGCCAATCAGCTAATAGCTAAATGTTATCGAGATAGGTAAATCCCGAGCTAATTCTGAATGATTTTTTGACGATTTTTCATTGACTAGGCCTTCAGGCGTTAATGTAGCCATCGTAGAGCAGTGGAATATAACGACTGAATTATTCGGGTTAAGCAAATAGATGAAAAAAAAATATATGCTGGATGTTTTCTATAAAAGTGTTTTATGTTTTTAAAGATGAATTGATTTCATTAATAGGAAATAGCAATAGTGTAATGGATAGAAGAGGTAAACTACATAACTTTTATACTGCTTGTAGTTATAAAAACTTTTACTTTCAAATACATGGGTTTAATCAATTTTCTGTAAATTACAGCTAACGTACAAACAATCTTGAAATAATTTATTTTCTAAGTGCTTGAAGTTTCCAAAATTATTCATCTGCCATTTATATGGATGGATTTGATATGCACCAATTGAAAATGACCAATATATCAACTGCACCAATTAATGTCTTTCATTTGTGTTATATAAAGAAAATAATTCTTCAAGTACTTTTTTTAAAATTACTTTATAGGGATAAAAATAAGCATGAGACGAAAAAAAACTAAAAGTTTTAAGGCTATATTATATATTTGATTAACATGAAATCCAGATTGTCTATACTGACTTACTGTATGCTTGATAGTTTTCCTTAACACATAAGAATTGGCTGTCAAGTGATTTTAATACAGGGTCCTATACATGTCAGCCTCATATTTTCTTATTAACTGAAAAATATGATTGTGAATGGTTTGTAAAAGTCAAAGTTTAGTTCAAAAGTATTAAACAGTTGAATGAAAGTAAAAGTTTTTATATCAAGTAGTATATGCTGGTGTTGTTGCTAGATATGGCTTCCCATTACAAGCTAACATTGTAATAAGTTGATTTATATTAAAACATAGGTTAAAGATCTAGCTCCTTTATTCAGGTTCAAGGCTAACACCCAGGCCATCGGGAAAAGTTTATGTACTAGGTGTGAGAGATTTAATACAAATTTGGCATAATTTTTGTGATTTATTACCTCCAAATCAGTCATAACACTTTTGTTCCGGTGCATTCTGGTTTGATAGTTCAAATGATGAATTATTGTTTTGTAGGAGTTCACAGTTTTATTATGATAAATCATTGTGTAAACATTTAATTAACTATTGTAAAGTTTATGTAAAAAAGTATGTTTCTGCGTTGATAATTTTAGGCCCAACAAGTGTGATTATCTTTTACCTAACCCAAAATTATAAAAAATCAGCATATTCTAACCTAAGTATATGTCTTATATTGTACTGGTATTTAATAACTTCTCATGTTCTCTTACATCACCTTAACCTGGTACCTAGATTTTTCCTCAGCCCATCATTAACAGTGAAATAGTCTGGATTTTTCCCTGCAACTGGCCTAATAAAATGGTTAAAAGATTAATAACAAGTTTTCAGTCTACTATAGATATTAATCTGATGTTAGTATATGTTTTATATGTTAATTTGTTAGATACTGAGTTCAGATCTGGATTAGAACAACAAGGTATACAGTTGACAAATTTTTTTGTTTTCTGTTTTATCTAAGCATGTTTATTTCTGTTTTCAGGAATGCCTGAGCAAGGTCAATTTCAATTTTCTTATTTGCTATAAATATCTGTATATTGTCTAGCATTTATTTATAATCATTACTTATCATGGGTATTCTTGGGTATATATGTATATACAAGTGTGTTTACGATTTTCTCTTGCACTGATCTATTACTTTTGCATTTATATAGTTTTGAAAGGGAGAGCATTTGTTTACTAAACAATTTTTTTTTAGAACTGAAAATATTCATCAAGAAATAACTTTTGGACTAATGTGATAACTGAATGCAAACAGGTTTTTGGTGGGGTTTGCTTCGCTCAGTCTTTATAAGTCCCCTACCGACGAAGTCAAAGGGGACTTTAGGTTTGCACTCCATCCGTCTGTCTGTTCATCCGTCAGTCCGGCAAATCAGTTTTCCAAACTTTATGCTTGAAGATATTGATTTGATATTTGGTGTATTGTTTTATCATGACAAATTACAGATCAAATTCAAATTTTGTTCCGGTCTGATGATTTTGTGCAGAGTTATGGTCCTTGGACTTCGAAAATTCACTTAAATAATCAGTTTTCCACACTTTTTTTGTCATGCTTGAAGATATTGACTTGATTTTTGTTATATAGTTTACACCATGACAAGTTATAGATCAAGTTAGCATTTTGTTCCAGTACAATGAATTTTTAACCGGTAGGGGACTATGTATTGCCATGCAATACTCTCAGAATGCTTGTTTTTCTATGTAGTGTTTTGTGGACTTTTTCATCTTTTCCCCAGTTTTTTGCCAAAGGTGCTGTCATTTTGATTGTTTTGAATGATCCCTTGGTATCTTCTGCCTCTTTTTATAAAGAAGTACTCATGGGTTACAGTTACAGTAGCATCTGTGAATATGAACATAGGGAGATATGGTATAATTGTTAATGAGACAACTCTCCACAAGAGACCCCAACAAAAAGGATGATGATTTAAATATCTATAGGTTGTTTTACTACCTTCAACAATGAGAAAACCTATGCTGTATAGTAAGCTATAAAAGTCCCCAGAGTCACAAAATGTAAAAATAATTCAAAAGAAATCAATGTTCTGATTTTTGCTAAAAACAACATAGGCGGATCCAGGGGGGGGAGGCTTTTGTTGGAAAAATTTGGTTGATTATATATGGAATCACTGAAGCATGACTGGAGTGGGGCCCCCCTTAGGTCAGTCAGCAGGCCCCCCCCCCCCCCCTTATGAAAAGTTCTGGATCTGCCACTGAACAATAAACAAAAAAATATGGCAGACAGCAACAAATGACTACAACTAGTAAGAGGTTCCTACTTGGGACATGCACATTATTTCAGTTTGTAAAATAAACCAGATTTTCTCTAACACTTGAATATCAATAAGTACACATACAATGGATGTAGTGTACAGACATCATAAACAATCTACTAATATTATTTATAAAAATAAATTGTATAAAACTAACACTTTACTGTACATGGAAATATATCTTGTAGAATTTTCTCTCACACTTCCTGTTTATATTAAATGATATTTTCTATTAACCAGTTACCTGACTATTGGAAACAGTAGCATTTCATGAAAGTAATTTAATTTTTAGTACATTATATGTTTCAAAACTGTTTCTGTTAGCAAATTCAGATTTTAAAAAAAAATTATTTTTGAAAATATAAGAGTTGTGAGATGGTTTTACGCAGCAGTAAGTGCATTTTTTGAAAATAATCCATACAATTTTTCTATCAAAAATTGTTCAGTCTTAAATATCTAATTAATTACTGTAAATTTTATAGGTATGGATGAATTAACATGTGTAAAACCTTGAATACTTAAGCTTTGAAATAAAGTTCATTCCATCATAAGTTATTGAGATTTTTACTGTATAAATAAAATTCATTGTTCTACAGAGGGTGTAATGCCAGGAGGAAGGGTTAGTAGCAATCCACATGGCAGACCACGACCTGTATTAAATGGTGAGGTCAATGCTAGTATCTATGACAACGAAGACGATAGATATGCACAGGTCAGTTAATTTCATTATATGATAAAATTGAGAATGGAAATGGGGAATGATACTGTTTTGTGTTTTACTATTGATCCTTTATACAAAAAAACATAGAAAAGATATACACATCTATAATAAGTGTTATGTTGTCTACATGGCACTTTTCTATTCTAAAGGTAGAATTTTTCCTAATCAACACAAAAACATCTGTTTTTTGCCAATCTTTAATTCTGAAATCCAAAACTGACTTTAATAGCACCCAGTAACATAGAAATACCTTTGTGATTGCAGATACCCTAATAATCCCTTACATTTTTATTCAAAATTTAGCTTGAATATGAATATTTTCCAGAGTTTATACAACAAGCATGATTCTTCATCAGACTATTTTGAGAACAAGAGAGTGAAAAAATATCTGAACCAGCCAATCAGCCGAACAAGTGAGTAATAAAATATCTGAACCAGCCAATCAGCTGAACAAGTGAGTAATAAAATATCTGAACCAGCCAATCAGCCGAACAAGTGAGTAATAAAGCATGGATGGCAGTCAAAGTTTTAAACATCTGGATTAAAATTATTTATTTATAACAGGCTTATTAATTGCTGGTAAAGTTTAAGATATCAAATAATCAGTATATATATTATTGTGAGAAATATTCTATCTATTCGACAAGTCCATGTCGTTAAAACACTAAATCCCTGGGATGTGTTTTAGTTGATTTTAGTCTCTGATGCATGATTTTTTATTATTAATTGTTTTTGGCTTTTAACTAGCTTTCAGTAATTGCGAGTACTCTCAAATCGTACTTTCATGTTAATTTGACCTGTTGATACAATTTGTAATGCATTTTTGTTACTTAATGTTTACTTATTTAGTGTTATATATCGTCTCACTATTTTTAATATATACCACATTTGATAAGTGTTTGGTATGACAATAAATTTTCACTTCTGTTGTCATACTATGAACAACAAAATTATTTATTTTGTAAAAAATATTTCCAACTCCATGTATACCTTACAACAAAATTATTTTTATTTACCTGTGTACGTTATTTTATTTGGCAGCATTTTGTCCAAGGTTTCCGATATTGTTTGACTTGGATGGAGAGTTGTTTCATTGGCACTCATACCACATCTTCTTATATCTATTGTTGATATGGCCAGTACATCATTGCTCACTGTATGTTAGTTTTCTGTGCCAGGTGTATTACTTTTGGTTTCTTATTAGTAATGCTTCATACCATTAATTTAATACAAAGGTAACCTCTCATAATGAAAACATGAGATAGTGGTTTCCTGCATGTGATCAAAAGTTTAGACAGCTGTCTATTGACCATGTATAACTTGTAGTAACTAAATCAGCAGAAAAATAAGATGCTTAAATTCCATTATTATACCACATAGCAGATTGTAAATTTTTTCAGAAGTTTAACTTGTATGAATCGACACCTAATCTGAAAGTAATCTGTAGTCCTGTACAAGATAAAATTTCAATATTCTAAAACCTTCATTGCCACTGAACATTAAGCAAGCAACAATCCATCAATATGATACCTTCATTCCATTCATTTAGAAACAATCATTGCTTATAATTGTAGATATGTCTGAAGTTAAACATAGTATTCAGAAGACGGCTCCGATGCCAGCGTCTAATGGTTTTGGTAAGCACGATCAGATGAGCAGTGGATTACGTGCTGCTGCTGTCCACGGTCAACTCATCAGTCAAGAGAACGACCCATTGGTCCGTAAACCTACACGTCTGGAAACGTTACAACCTATTGGTGGCAAGAAAGGAAAGAAGAAAAGGAACGAACTACAACCTTTATGATTACAACTTAAGTAGACACAAACTGGGTACTGTTGCAATCAACCAAACAATTTATTATTGGATCCATTGTTACCAGCATAATACTAACAGTAGTAAATAATCCTATATGATTAATACATAAAAATCAGTTATTGCAAATTATTACTGTTGGTGTTAACAATATTTGTTTAGAGAAATTGCATGAAACAATTGTACAATATGATTTTTAAAAAACAATTTTTATGGATTTGAATCCTCTTGTAAAAAGACCAGATTGAAATTTTCATGGAATAGCACTTGAATTTAACTATTTTCTAATTATCCCATACAGTACAGCACTTTATCTCTGAAATGATGATTTATAAACAAATTTTGATTAATTTAGCATTGAAAAGAGATGAAAATTATTATATTGATTTTCAAATGCAATCATTGGATGTGCAATCAAACTTTGTAAGAATTTGTAGAAACTTATATTTCATTTTTCGTACAATGCCATCTTTGTTTGAATAATTAAGGCAGTTTTTATCCATGTCAGTTTGGTATAATCTGTAATTGAAACTGAAAATCCATTACATAGACATCGGATATTTAAAAAATAAAAAAAATATTGATAGTTTAAAATGTTTATGAAACTTGATTGATTATTTTTAGGTATTTTATCAAATATTAATGTTTTAATGTTTATGAAATATCATTGGTATTTTTCAAATGCTGGTTAAATATCTTTAATATATTTCAGATTTTGGTGAAAATATCTTAACCTTTTCATGATATGGCTAATTTATCTGAATAATTCAGTGTAAAAAAAAAATGAAAAAAAAATTGAAGTGAAAGTTTCTCTGTTGATAATAAATGTCTTTAAAGAATCCATTCCTGGTATAAGCAAATATTGATGTAGGTAAATTGTGTCTTCACTAGTGTACTGCAAATTTGTATTTTGTTTTTTTTTAGTGATATCTTCATTTTGCAACATATTCCTTAAATTTTGCAAGCAGCAAGTGCTTCTGTGATAAAAGTTGTTTCATATCATAAAAATGTAGTTTGAGACATTCCATTAATGTAAAAATATTGTTTGAGACATTCCATTATTAAATGTAAAAATATTGTTTGAGACATTCCATTATTAAATGTAAAAAATAATGTTTTGAGACATTCGGTAGAAAGCATTTGAAGTGCTTGTGTGACAATATAATCATTCATATTTTTATTTCTACTAATATTACTTGCAATATTAATGTGATATTTACATAAAATTTTCTTTTTGAAAATTTAAAATCGTAAAGCAAATAATCATTGAAATAAGAAAAAAAGATGGGCTGATATCAATGTTATCACATGCAATATCATACCTCTGATTGTATCATTCAGAGGTGACAAGTGTTGGGCTGATATCAATGTTATCACATGCAATATCATGCTTCTGATTGTATCATTCAGAAGAAACAACTGTTGGGCTCATATCAATGTTCTAATATGGAGAGTGATGTGTATTTAATATAAAAAAAAAATTGTATGAAGCTTTGAAACAAGAAGAATAAGGTTTTCTTCAATATTTTTATGCCAATTACAAAAAATTTGATATTTCCAAACATTTGTCTTATATTGTTGTTATACTGCATCTATAAATAACTGTAATCATAGCCATCTAACTGTGAACAAAAAAAAAAAACTTTATTCCATCCCTAAATAAGCCCCTGATTGTGAAGGAAAGTGATTGACATCGTACCAGTATTTACTATATTTAGGAAATAAAAGGTTAGAGGGTCTGTCCAAGCTGCAGCATAAATTGAAATCCATATGACATTTTAATCTTTTATAGACTTCTGGTATTATAGGACAGCAAAGCTGCAGCATAAAATGAAATCCATATGACATTTTAACCTTTAATAGACTTTTGGTATTATAGGTCAGCTAGTCAGATACAGTTCAGCTCAGTATTGTATATAATCTTTATGTCTTTCACAACAGAAATTTTACAGCAGATTATGAGGGTTCTAGAAATATTTTTAATTATACTTAGTTTTTATTTTTGTACTTACATCAACAGTTAAGTAGCATGCTACTTTATATAGATATCAGGTTATAAGAATCTCAGAGGCCTTATTAAAACTGCTGCTAACCAGTTACAAATATTTGGTTGATATATTGTATAGAAACTTACTAGATCCTTAGGAATATTAAACCAGTTAAATCTGTAATAATGTCAAAGGTACTTTTAAACATTTAATATCTGAATGATACACATGTGAATGGTTTGCAGTAGTTTTTTCCATGCCTCTTTAACTTTAGGGTAGCTTATAATTAGTATACATTTTTACAGAAAATGAGCAGGCCTCTTCCACTAGTCAGTGTTGATAAGTATTTTAGTCCATATCTGTCACAGAGTATTAATTATACATTGTTAACTTTTTTATATTTATCCAACACATTCCGTCCCACTATATTTGACTAATATCTATTTTATCATCCCGTCCTAGGTGTGGATATTGTTGATTTATGCCATATCACTTTGTTGTTTATTTGTATATATATCCGTCCATGGATGAGTTTTTTAAACATATATATATATTTATTCTTGTTATTACTCTTGTTGAAGTGTGTAATATCTATACAATGAATGTGATTTAAAATCTATAATGACTATCTTGGAAGCAGCAAGTCTAAAAGCTGTTCCAGAAATGAATTGTATGGGGGGTCGGAAGGCACTTCCATTAAAAATGTGGTTGGTAGTGGTTATTTTAGAAAGAAAGATTGAACAATTATCAATTATAGGAAATAATCAATTAAAATTTATGCATTGCAGGTAAATTAATAAGTGTCTTCCATCCCCAACCCCCCATTTATTTCTGGAACAGCCATAAGATAATTAATATTTTTCATTGTCCTGGTTTCTGTTTAAGCATAATTTATATTAAAAGCAAATGTATTGTGTGGTTAAAGTATTGTGTGATGTTTTTCTTTCCAAAATCATGAATTTCTATCATTAATAACAATGCAATTTAACCTTAGAAGAATTAAATAAACTTAAAAAAAAACATTTGGGGATCTTATTATTATTATAATTTTTTCTAAATATAGACATTACTGTTAAATTCTAAAAGTTAAAATTCTTGCAATTGAACCACAAAAAAATGATTGAGTTATATTTCTGACTTGTATCACACAGACTTGACATGTAATGCATATTTGAAATTTAAAGACAATTCCTAAACTATTGAAATATTGTTATTAAAATGCTATGAATCCTTTATATATGTGATATATCCATGATCGTTATTGAAATGTTTTTTTAAAATATTTTTGAACAAGGTTTCATTTCTAACAATCATTCCACTTTCCACGAACATTTGCCACTTTTGCCAATTAAGCATAATACATTTTAGATTAAAAATGAAACAAACTAACTTGCAATTATTGATAAATCGTTAGACAAAATGTCTGCAGTTTAACCTTGTTGTCATAATGTACAGATAAAAAATGTACTAAATGTTTTATTTGGTCTTTAGATACACTAGTTACTAAATATTATAAATGTAATGGTTTATAACTTGGTTTAACTGTAAGATTTTATGACATGATTAAGCATCGTAGGGGAATATTGGAGACACTGTTATGTAAACAGGATGTATTTTTATGATCTGTGATAAGATTGTAGGACAATCTAGTGTAACTGTACTATTTGTTGATCAATAAATCACAATTGTTGTTTTATACTTGTTTTTGTTTTATATATTCCTGTGAATAAAGTTACTGAAGAAGATACAGGCTAAGGTATTACGTTCTCTAAGTGGCAGTGACCGCTCCAGTCATGCTTCAGTGATTCCCTATAATCGACCAAATTTTTCCCACAAAAGGGGGGCCCAGGCCCCCCCCCCTGGATCCGCCTATGGTAATTCATTGTAAGTTCAACATGATATCTACATGTTTTTCTGCCCTACCTCTTGCAATCACCCCCCAAAAAATAATTGGCTTCTGCCTACAAGAGAAGAAGGCTTTATGTCTTGGTGTGTGTTTCTGTCGAATATTCCTTCAGCCTGTTTATCCGTCCTTCCATCCGATATCAGGTTAAGGTTTTTGTTTAGGGAAGTTTACCAGGAAATTAAGATCACTTAAAATTAAGTTCTTTTTTTATTTAAGCTTTTTAAAGTCATATTACAGTTTTTACTCCAAATTCCCAGTCACTGATCATAATAATGTCATAGTGTGAAACCAGTCCATTTAGGGTTAAAGTTTTTGGATAAGGTAGGTTAACACAAAGTTGTGGTCAATTAGTGCATCTTATAACTAATTAAATATATGCCAAACAATGGTTTGGCCCTGATTTCACAGTACGCAAAACATGGAAATATGATAATGTGAGTTGAACATAGTATCTTATGGACACATATTCTTGTTCAGTCACTGCTTCAGTTACTGACATGCCAGCTCCAGACCTCAATTAAACTGATTGAAAGATTATGTCTTCATCATATGAAAATAAAGTACAATCCCTCCCTTTAGGGGTTTAGTATCATACCATCAAAAAATATATGAGAAGAACATAACCCGTGTCATGCCAACAACTGGTTTTAGAATAAATGTGTGTAATTCCGATGCAAAGACCCTATAAGTGAATCAATATTAAAGCCAAAATATGCAATCTTTAATGACCTGACAACAGTATCGTAACTATATCCTTTTCGATTAAGTCTGTTTAAAGGTTTGGTTAGCTTTTGAGGTGAATGCCGACATTTTTGTGCTTTGTAAAGAATATTACCATAAAATATTGGATGTGAAATACCTGAACGTATAAGATGGCTGCATGTTGATTTATATTTACGAATGATGTCCTTGTAGCGATGATAAAATTTAGTAAATGTTTTTACTAGTTTGTGATATCGAAAACCCTGGTGTAATAATTTTTCAGTAATACAGAGATTTCTTTCGTTGAAATCAAATACGTTTTTACATACAGGTCCAATTGACATAGTTCTTTTGTTTGTTGTTACTAAAAAATGACCTAAAAGAGTTTGAACATATATATTCACATTCCAACTTTTTAAATGCCCATTTAATCAGGTGTGTGAATTTTTTCTTAATAAGATTATGAGGTTACGTGGTATATAGGGTAGAAAAATCAAAACTTTGAACAGATTCGAAATCACCAATATAAGCATGCAATTTATCTGATAATCAACTACTTCCAACGAATTTTTGACACTCCAAAAAACAAGGAATTGTTTGAATCTGGAATAATTTTGAATTCTGGAAAATTAATAAGAAAAGTATGATGAAAACTAACCTAACTAAATAGTTGTTGTCTCTTTGACACATTCCCCATTTCCATTCATAATTTTATTAGCCATGCATGCATGTCTAAGGTTAATTTTACTTTCACTGATATTTCAGTAAGAACTAACTAACCCCCCTTAGCCATGTGCACATGGCTAAGTCTATTTAGTTGGGTTAGTTTTTCATCATACATTTCTTATCAATTTTCCAGAATTCAAAATTATTCCAGATTCAAATAATTCCTTGTTCGGCCACTTCATTCATAATTTCTTCCTAAATTTGTTGATGCTTTTACTGCAAATAAGAGTGCACTGACATATAATTTTTCTGGCTTAATATTTGTAATTTTAGTAAACATCTTTCTATATAAAACAACTAAAACTGTTATTTGTTATTTTAAAACTCTCTAGAAACCTTCCTTAAGCAGTTACTTTTTTAAGATCTTTTAGGTTATTTATTGTATTATATTGTATTTCTTTTAAAATCTCTTTGGTTGATCATTGTATATTGTATTTCTTTTAAGATCTCTTAGGTTGTTCATTGAATATTGTATTGAATTGAATTAATGAAATAGTAATAAATACAAATATTATTAAATATGAATAAATAAAAAGTATTTAAAATGAAGAAACTATTTAGAAGAATAGCATTTATATTTCCAGCAGTGATTTGTTTTCATCGGAGGATGTAGAACTTTTACATACCATTCTAAAATGAGTCATGTCAGTACAAGAATGACTTATTTCTGTCATATGTGTGAAGTTTATCCAAAATTTTCTCTACTTATTCTAGCTTTCATTAGCCAGTGAAAGTCAAGCTAGCAACAACCATTTAATCAATCTTTAGAGCTTATGGTATTGTCACTTATATATGAATGAAGATTTGTATAACGGTCCCTATATGTATATTTCTACTAAACTTTTGTTGTATGGTTGCTATCTTATCTTGTTTTAAGTTAACCCCTTATCTCTTTTTGATAGGGTAAAATAGACTAAATTGGAATAAAAAATGGAATAAAAAGAGAATCAACTTACCCTATGTCAAGCAGATTACACAACAGGAAACAGTTTAATTTAATATATGAATAATCATTTTTAATCAAAAATTTTATGCATATTTATGATCATTGAAATTCAGAAAAATAAACAATTATGACCATGTTAGATTAAGGTGATGTAGTATGATTAACAATATTGTAATTATCATCAAATTAATTGTCATTCCAAATGAAGCATTTAGAAATAGTTGACTCATTGGCACTCATACCCCATCTCCTTATTTTTATAATGCTGATTTCTTTTTGCATAACCTAATATGTAATCTGCAAATGGATAAACAGTCAGATCATTATATGTTATTGGATGATATCACAGAATTAAAATAGAAACAAGCTACATATGTTTTGCTGAACTAGGATACATTATTGTTTACGGGCCAGCTGAAGCGGTCCTTGGGTGTGGATTTTTCTAGCTGTGTTGAAGACTGATTGGTGGCCTTGGGCTGTTTTCTACCCATTGGTCAACTTGATCCCTGCGACATGCACATTAGACATTTGAGACAAGATATATGCCTGTCTTTTCTTTGATGAGATTTTCATAAAGATAGCCAGTATCTTTAAGCATTTGTTTCAGCTCTCACTTTATGTTCCAATCGACGTAACCACAACCCCATTCGCCTTTCCCCCAAATGTGACCTACCTAATAAGACCTATCACCGGGTTTGCGCGTACATGAGCAACACAACTGGTGCCACATGTGGAACAGGATCTTCTTACCCTTCTTTAGCACTTGAGATCACCCCTTGTTTTTTGTGGGGTTCGTGTTGCTCAAACTTTAGTTTTCTATGTTGTGTTATGTATACTGTTGCTTGTCTTTTTTTTTTTTGAGTTTGATGTTCATAACTCATTAGTCTATTGCACATCAGTATTTAGATTAAAAAATGTTGTCTTACATATTCGCATTAGGGCTTCCAACTTCTTGCACTGAATGCAAAACTGTATAAAAAAACAAAATAGCTGTTTTGAGTAAAGCTGTTGCTCATATATATTTTGACCAAAACTATGTGGGAAATGGAAATTTTAGGTCAATTATATAAATTTCGACATGCTAATGACATCATAGTGTAATCACAAGTAACCTTTCTGCACTAAAATCAGATTGCTTTATATATGTTGTCAACTTTAAACACAATAAAAAATACTGAAAATCATTTAAGTCAGACAGAGTTGTCTCCCATACCATAGCTTCAAGCTGCAACTAATTAGATTTTTATAAGGCATTTTTATGGATACAGATTGGATATTTGTTTTAAATAATTGAGACAATATTTATCAGAAGATGAGTCAATAAATTATATGTAGGGTTTTTAGAACAGTTATTGTCTAAGTTTAACTATCTACGTGATATGTAATTCTCAAAGATACCTAAACAGACAAGTTATTACCTCATGTATTTATACTACAATAATACAACTGAATACACATATTTAAGTTGAACCCAATCATCTTGAGACTACCAAACTAAATCTCATAAACCAATATAGTTATTCAATCTTGTGCATAAATTGTAGACCAAGCCACAATTTGGACCTGAGGATAAAGTCATCCCATTTCCTTATACTAGTATCTGGTACTATTGTATTAAATTGACCAGTTGGATGCTGCATCAATATATAAATAGTATAACAAAAATACCTAACTCCAAGGTAAAGTCAAAATGGGAAAGTCCATAACAAACGTTAAACTTTATCACCCAACAAAACAAATTGAACACAACTGTCATAATCCTGACTTTGTACAGACATTTTCTGAAGAAATTGGTGGTTAAACCTGGTTTAATAGCTAGCTAAATCTCCCACTTGTATGACAGCTGTTTATTATTATGAGAGTATTGACATACTGGTGTCTCATTGATGTATACCTCACATCTCTTTGTTCATATGCATCAATCTAAAAACTAGCTTGAATAGAAACTATAAAACAATAAATAAGATGAATGAAAATATTTAATAATAGTTAAACGAATACTAGATGTATATTCATACGCAAAATTACAGTTTGGAAAACTGGGGACTAAAAGCTGTTTGACAATTTTGAAATTAGGTAAGATTGAGTTATCCTCCGTTATATGTATATATTACTTGTGGGAGGGGGATAAGATTCATTGAAAGGCTTGTGTGCTAAATTTGTAACAAATTGGGTAATTATGGGTGCAAAAATCAAAAAGTAATTATAAATTTACCAAATAACATCCGTCAGATATTCATAAGACATTATAGTCTTTTGGACATCAGTATTTAAATTATGAAATTTTGTCTGGGCAATAATAAACAAAATTACAACTTTGAAAAACTGCTGTTTGATAATTGTTAAATTAAAATTGAATTATCCCCCTTTTTATATAGATATAAAAATTAAAACTTGGTTTGTGAGGGAGAATAAGGTATAAGATACAAAGACTTGATATGTGTTTAATTTGAATCAAATCAGCCAAATAGGGGGGGGGGGGCAAAGCAGCTGTAGTCCCAAAGTAGGGATAAGCAGAAGAATGAATTTGTAACATTAATAATGTGAAAACAAAACAATACATTTCTGATAAATAAAGAAATTAAATCTGAATTCTTTCTTTTGTTATGTTATAAATTAATAAAATCAATTTTCTGCATCTCACTTTAAGCATGATATTTTTCTTTGCATCGAAAGGTTTGTTTAATACAAAGCGAGGCAATTGAAGTGCAACTTTGATATTCTTAAAAATAATAAATTAAATGTTATAGAGATAAATTACTAACTGCACCATCAAATAATATAATTCTTAACAATATTTCTTTTACTTTTTTCGAGTCACCTTCATGTTTTGAAAAAACTGTGTAAAATTTTTTAAAGTCTGTATACCAAAGTTTTTTTTATAGTATTTTATTCTTTAAAGAAAAAAGAGAAGAAAAAATACAAAATTTTAAGTCCTTTATTTCTAGATATATACAAGTTGAAAACTGAAGATTCTGATTATTATGTTTTTCCACATATCTTGTTGGACATGGGGTCTGTATTCTTCACTGAATCTTAAATTTATAAAAATGATAAATATCAGATACATAATATAAAGGCTTATGCTGTTATTTACTACAGATTGGGCAAGTATGTCCAAAATCATCAAAACACTCGGAACAATAAGTTGATGAGCAGTTTGTATTTTTACATGCTTTTAATGTATGACTGGACCCTTGGTTAGCTCCACAATTCATACAGAATTCTAGATCTGTTTGTTCCACTTTAAAGCATGGACATATTGCAGATAACGTTTGTTTTACAGACATTCTCTGCTCAGCAATTTTTTGTTTCTTAATTGAGGTGACATGTTGTTTAATGAAAGTATGCCTTCGCTTGCGGTTGTAGAGGATTTGCTTCTGAAGAAAAACTATACGTTCTTTTTCCTGTTCAGGATAGTAGAAAGCACATATTTTGCGATTGTATCTTGCTCCGTAGGCTTGCATGAACACCAGGAGTAGAGCAGCTATGTATGCTGAACAAAGAACTGGAATGTCGGTAGCATCAGGTGCTGTTGGACTTGGCAGGCATAAAGTTGTATTATAACTAGCTTCGTATGTGTTTTCAATGTTAATATTATTTATAAAAGTGTTTATAAAGGCAGCCATTTGTCCTCCCTTGACCTTTAGGTTTATTTTACTTTGTCCAGTGACCTCTACATTTACCTGGCCATACCTGTTTACAAGGAACAATATATAGAACAGTACGTAATTAAGGAACACGATCAGAGCACTGAGTAACACGTGTAGAAAAAGCTGGGAAATACCCATTAAACTCTGACTTTTCTCTTTTGGAGACATCCTCAAGGATGTACTATCTGTGTATAGTTTCTTTTCCTTCTTTTGTAGAGGTAACACCCCCTGTTGTCCTTTCTTTCGTGTTTCAGAATCATAACCCTTAAAATGTGAAGAAATGTAAATGTTATCAAATTCATCCTTAGCGAGATAATTTTTCAGATAAAAAAATGATTGTGTTAGGAGCAACAGTAGTGACAGAGCTAAAAGTTTGCTAAGAAATCCCACAATGTTAGTAAATGTGATTTTCTTGTCGGTCAGAGCCTCCTCAATATCAGCAATGAATTCTCTAGCTGTTTTAGAAGCATTATAAACCTTGCCATTCTGAGACTGGTTGATGATGTTGAATTGAAACCATTTATCGACTTCTTTTACCAGACTGACAACAGATTCTGCGAGTTTCTCGGCTGCATTATCAAGAGATTTCACTGGTGAACATACAAAAGATGGTTTGACTACGACACAAACCTTATCTATATCTAGAACTTTACAAACAGCTGTTAAATCTAAAAATGGAACATACCTGCAACAAAGGAATACAAGTTACTGTTAACATAAATATTTGCTGATTGTTATTTTCAAAATTTGAATGCATAAGCTTTGCTAATTAAGTGAAAATTACCCCTGTTTGAAATTTTCCCAGTATTGTTAATTATATATAAGCTATGACCTAGGACTTAAGTTAGGAGTACATCAATTTCGTCCTTTTGAAAAACTTATTACATGGGTATAAGCCACAAAGGCAAGGTCATTTTTTAAAAACATGCAACAAAAATGTTCTATACCATATGATAGAACTAATAGAAAAATTGAAAAGATGATAGCAATTCCATTGTAGTGTCATTACTTCAAATTACCCATTAATAATATGTTAATAATCCTACATGCTTGAGTTTAATCATTATGCAATGTGAAGAAGAGAAATGTCTTTAATCTATTTTTAAGTTTATTAAATCAACTATCCTAATGCAAATATAGCCATTTGAAATGTTTAAAAGATTTGGAAGATTTGGTTAACTGAAGCATAACTTTTGTCTCGCCTGCGACGAAAGTCACAGAAGGCTAGACATAGGTATTGCTTTTCAGTGATGTAGGTGTCAACAATTAAGTTAGTATGATAGGAACTACTTGTGATAGATCAATAATATTTTGTATGAAGTTGCATTACATCAGTACATATCAGTTTGATAACTGTTTTGATCGAGGCCTTACTCCCTAGGTCGTGGTTCAGCTACTTTCAATTGATAGGCAATTTTCAGTATTATGTTTTCTGCTTAAGTCAGTTTGATAGGAACTGCTAGTGGTAGATCAATGATATTTTCCATAAAGTTGCATTACTATCAGATCAGATCAGTTTGACGACTATTTTAAGGCCCTGTGATAGATCAATAATTATTTTCTATAAAGTTGCATTACTATCAGTTTGACAACTATTTCGAGGCCCTAGCTGCCCCCTAGGTCATGGTCCAGTGACTTTGAATTAATTAGCAATTTTCAATGCTAAGTTTTCTGCTTAAATCAGTTTGATAGCCCTGTTGATCATGGTCCAGAGACTTTCAATTAATTACCAATTTTCAATGTTAAGTTTTCTGCTTAAGTTAGTTTAATAGGAACTACTTACAATAGACAATGATGTTTTCTGTAAAGTTACATTACTGTCTGTACATCTCAGTTTGTCGACAATTTCAAGACCCTGCACACTGGTTCATGGTCCAGTGACTTTGAATTAATTAACAATGTTGCTGTCCCTTACTTTGTCTTTTTCTGAATTTTATGCAGACAGGCGAGACATATCTCTGTGTCAACAGTTTATTTAAGAGAATATATTCATGCAGCAACTGAACCACAGTTTGAATCTATTTTTTTTAGAGAATCAAAGAATTCTGAGACATGATGGACTATTGATGATACTTACCGTTTAACATCACGAAGTGTATTCGTACAAACACTGTATGCTTTGTTGAGATCGCTTACACAGTCATCATACACACGGTTCATCATTCTATCACACTCCTGTAAATATATAAAGTACAAGTACAAACATAAGAGATCTCTCACAACCAGTAAACAGTCACTGTTATATTCACACTAAAGAATAAAGGTACAATATATTGACATACAATGAGGACTGTAGTGGGATTTAATTTTCTTCAAAATACACACTGCAGAAGTAATATTTTTTCTAACACTGCATATCTCACTACATTTTGTACTTAATAAGTGCTTTTACATGTGAAGCTGTATCCAATTTACCACTAACTTTTTTCCATGTGAGGCTGAATATACTGCACCAATGACTTACTATTTTCCCCTGTGAAGCTGAATACACTGCACCATTGACTTACTATTTACCTGTGAAGCTGAATACACTCAGTACACTGATTTACTATATTACCCGTGAAGCTTAATACACTCAGCACACTGACTTACTATTAACCTGTGAAGCTGAATAAACCTAGTACACTGATATACTATTTTACCTGTGCAACTGAATACACTCAGCACACTGACTTTCTATTTTACCTGTGAAGCTGAATACACTCAGTACACTGACTTACTATTTTACCTGTGAAGCTGAATACACTTAGTACACAGACTTACTATTTTACCTTTGAAGCTGAATACACTCAGTACACTGACTCACTATTTTACCTGTGAAGCTGAATACACTCAGCACACTGACTTACTATTTACCTGTGAAGCTGAATACACTCAGTACACTGACTTACTATTTTACCTGTGAAGCTGAATACACTTAGTACATAGACTTACTGTTATGTATTACTAACTATAACATTATTGAGAGTAGAAGGCATCTGTTCAGATTAGCATTTTATTCTACACTAAAATAATCAAGCAAGTTAACATATTATATATCGCGACAATTGATACAACTGTGGTAGGTAACAGTCTAGGCGGTGCCATATGGTTTTCATCACTTTGAGATTACAGTTCATTTGATAACAATTCATAGTAACTTTAATAGTTTATTTTGACAGTTTCAGTTATACATAACATTTCCTCCCTTCTAATTTTCGAATTCCATAGTAAAGTTATAGTATGTGAATGATAAGGTCATTGATAAAAATCAGCACGTGTGAAAAGAATGAATGAAAGAAATTAATTACTGTCTATGTGTATATAAAAACTTTAACTATGAAAAACACTAATATCATGCATTCAAAATATTTATCCCTACAGTGATTGCAATAGAAAAACTTTCGTTTCCTCGCGCACACAATCACGCCTAACATAGGTTGCAAAGGGAGTTATTATTACCCTTACGGCACTACAACCAATTTTACAAATTTAACTTAGGAACCGGCTTTCTGGTTCTCAACGGATATCTTCTCTGAATTGGTTCCGACAAAGGTAGTTCGCTGTCTTTTTGTTTAAGTTGTAGATCTTGTGGTTGCTCAGTTGGTTCATCCGGAATTATCTCTAGTTCAGCTGTTTTGTCATTTATAACTTCTTCTCCCTGTTTATCGTGAAAGTCTGAGTTTCGTATCTGGTCGGCATGACGTTTCCAGATACTGTTGGGCGAAACTTCTACCTGATAATTTAGCGGTCCTTCACGTTTGGTTACAAGTCCACTTGTCCATTTATTTGGTCCACGGTAATCACGTACGGCTACTGTTTCTCCCTCGGTAAATTGTCGTAAAGTCTCTTTTGTCGGTTTAATTGCAATTTTCATCTGCTTGTCTTGAACTTGTCTATTAATATCTGGTTTAAGTAAGTCAAGTCTGTTGCGTAAATGTCTACCCATAAATAACTTAGAAGGTGTTTCATTCGTTGTCGTATGGGGAGTGTTGTGATATGCCAGTAGAAAATTTGCTAATTTCTTATTTATATCTGAATTTTCCCCTCGCATGGCCTTTAAGCTCTGTTTGAAAGTCTGAACAAAACGTTCCGCGAGTCCGTTTGTTGCAGGATGGTAAGGTGCACTCTTGATATGGGTTATTCCATTCATTTTAGTAAATGTTTGAAATTCTGCTGACACGAATTGTGGTCCGTTGTCGCTAACTATCTGCTCTGGCAATCCTGCTCTCGCAAATATAGTTCTTAACACTCTGATTGTTTGTGTTGAAGTGGTACTTTTCATCGGTATAACTTCAGGCCATTTAGAATGAGCATCAATGACAATCAAGAACATATGATCAATAAATGGTCCAGCGAAGTCAATATGTATACGTTTCCACGGACTTGACGGCCACTCCCATGGGTGAAGTGGTGACTGTTTCGGGTTACGATGGTGTTTTTGACATCCGGAACAACTTTTTGCTAGAGATTCTATCTCAGAATCAATACGTGGCCACCATACGTAGCTCCTTGCCAATAATTTCATTTTCACTACTCCTGGGTGCGCAGAATGTAACAGTTCTAAAGTTTGCTGTCTAAATTTTGTCGGAACAATAGTACGTATTCCCCACTGTAAACAACCTTGACTGGTAGAAAGTTCGTTTTTCCGGTTGAAATACGGTTTCAAGTCAATATCATCATTGACGGTCCAACCTTTTTGTACAAATTCATAGACTCTTGATAAGATCTTGTCACGCGCAGTTTCTCGTCTAGTGTTGTTGTTTGTTAAGCTTAACTGTTCTAGTTGCTTTAACATGAAAACGTCAACTGCATCAAATTCCTCACCATCTGATTCTGTAGATTCCTGTGGTATTCTCGATAGCGCATCTGCGTTTGTGTGCTTGTTAGTGTTTTTGTACTCGATGTCATATGTATATCCACTTAAAAACAACGCATATCTCTGTAAACGTGCTGCTGAAGTGGTAGAAATTCCCTTTTTCGGATTAAATATTGACACAAGCGGCATATGGTCTGTTATCAGTGTAAATTTACGACCATACAGATAAGTATGAAACTTTTTAACGCCGAAAATTATACCTAGAGCTTCTTTGTCGATTTGACTGTAGTTTCTTTCTGCTTTATTAAGTGATCTTGACGCAAAAGCAATAGGGCGCTCCGTTCCATCTTGCATTTTATGTGACAAAACTACCCCTAATCCAAATGGAGAAGCGTCACAAGCTAATCGAATAGGTAGTTCTGGGTCATAATGACATAGAACCTGCTCAGATGTTACCAAATCTTTGGCCCTCTTGAATGATACCTTACATTCTTTATTCCAATCCCATTTGACATCTTTTTCTAACAGTCTGTGTAATGGGCGCACAACAGATGAGATATTTGGTAGGAATTTATGGTAGTAATTCATTAATCCGAGGATTGAACGTACCTGAGTAACATTTTGTGGTTCTGGTGTGTCCAAAATCGCTTTGATTTTATCCTCTGTTTTGTGTAATCCATGCTTATCTATTTTATGTCCACAAAACTCGATTTCATCTTTGAAAAACTTGCACTTGTCCTTATTAACTGAAAGGTTGTACATCTCTAATCGCTTCATAACTTTGTCGAGGTTCACTAAATGTTCTCGGTAATTTTTACCGGTTATAACCATATCATCTAATATGCATTGTACTCCTGTCAACCCTTGGAGTATTTGGTCAATGGTTCTCTGCCAGATTGCAGGTGCAGACGCTACACCGAATAACATTCGGTTGTACTGATAAAGTCCTCTATGCGTATTGATAGTCAAGTACTTCTTGGATTCCTCATTCATCTCGAGCTGTAAATATGCCTGTCTTAAATCTATTTTCGAAAATTTTTCACCTCCAGATAACGAAGCAAAAATATCGTCAATTCTAGGTAAAGGATATTGATCAACTTGAAGCTGCTGATTAATTGTGGCCTTAAAATCGCCACAAATTCTCACGCCCCCTGACTTCTTCACGACAGGCACAATAGGCGTTGCCCATTCACTAGTTGGCACTTTTGTAATAATACCTTCCTCTTCAAGACGGTCGAGCTCCTGTTCAACTTTCGGTCTTAGTGCATACGGTATCGGTCGCGCCTTCATGAACACAGGTTATCTTTCATAATTAAATTTCCTTTAATTCCATTCACACAACCGATGTTGTCACTAAATACAGATGCATGTTGAGCAAGCAATTCTTTTGTTTTCTCATTAACATTTTCAACACTTACTTTGTTGATTTTGCTCCAGTCTAGTCTGATTTTTCGTAACCAGTCCCTTCCAAATAAGATTCCTCCTCCTTTTTGTACGACATACAGCGACAATATTTCACTTTGGTCGTTGTAGTTTACATTTACAGCGGTTACTCCTAGTGGTGTAAATTTCTCACCCGAAAATGTTCTCAAAATAACGTCTGTTGAATCAAGCTTACGATTCGGAAACATTTGATCAAATTCCTTCTTTGGAATAATCGAGAGAGCGGATCCTGTGTCCACTTCCATTTCAACAGATTTGTTGTCGATTTTCACGTCGACAGTTATCTCCTTTGTTTTGGAATTCACTGTATAAATCCCTACATCATTGTTTCCTTTCTGTGTATCTTTGAACACTGTGTAAATTCCAAATTCATCATCCTGAGAATCATCAGCATTAAGTGAGTGCACATTCCGTTTTATCATTTTACTACGACATGCTGCTTGAATATGTCCTTTCTTCTTACATTTATGACACGTTTGATCTTTAAAACGACATGTATCGGCTTTATGTCCTTGCTTGTTGCAACGGTAACACGTTATAAGTTTCTGTTGATGGAAGCTAACCTTCGGTTTTTGACTTTTAACCTTATGTACAGCTGATTCTGGTTGTTTTCCTTGTAGCTCCAATGCGTCTTTTGTAGCTGTTTCCATCGCTACAGAAATCTGCATAGCTTTTTCTAATGTTAATGCTTGGACTGACAATAGTTTCTTCTGAGTTTGTTCTGATTTCAACCCACAAACCAATCGGTCTCTCAATGTATCGTTTAAATCAGGGAAATTACAATATTCCGAAAATTTGCGAATTTGTGCTACATACTCATTAATAGACTCTCCACTTTTTTTGTCCCTCTTGTGAAAACGGAAACGTTCTGCTATCACCAGTGGTGCGGGTGATAAATGTTCCTTCAAAACTTTCACAATATCCTCGTATGATTTATCTTTCGGTTTGTCTGGTGTTGTTAAATTTCTTAACAAAGCATAAGTTTTTCCACCGATTAAACTAAGTAAAGCAGGTACACGCTTATCGTTGTTAATTTCATTCACAGCGAAATATTGTTCTAGTCTTTCTGTATAAGAAGTCCACTGTTCAATTCCATCATCAAAATTTTCAATTTTACCGATATATCCAGCCATTTTTTGTTTTTTTTAACTCGTCGCCAATTTGTTATGTATTACTAACTATAACATTATTGAGAGTAGAAGGCATCTGTTCAGATTAGCATTTTATTCTACACTAAAATAATCAAGCACATTAACATATTATATATCGCGACAATTGATACAACTGTGGTAGGTAACAGTCTAGGCGGTGCCATATGGTTTTCATCACTTTGAGATTACAGTTCATTTGATAACAATTCATAGTAACTTTAATAGTTTATTTTGACAGTTTCAGTTATACATAACACTTACTATTTTACCTTTGAAGCTGAAAACACTCAGTTCACTGACTTACTATTTTACCTGTGAAGCTGAATACACTCAGCACACTGACTTACTATAAACCTGTGAAGCTGAATACACTCAGTACACTGACTAACTATTTTTACTTGTGAAGCTGAATACACTTAGTGCACTTACTTACTATTTTACTTGTAAAGCTGAATACAGTCAGCACACTGACTAACACTTTTTACCTGTGAATATGAATCCACTCAGCACACTGACTTTCTATTTACATGTGGAGCTGAATACACTCAGCGCACTAACTTACTATTTTACCTGTGAAGCTGAATACACTCAGAACACTAACTTTCTATTTTACCTGTGAAGTTGAATACACTCAGCACACTAGCTTACTATTTTACCTGTGAAGCTGAATACACTCAGCACACTAACTTACTATTTTACCCGCGAAGCTGAATACACTCAGCACTCTAACTTACTATTTTACCTGTGAAGCTGAATACGCTCAGCACACTAACTTACTATTTGACCTGTGAAGCTGAATACACTCAACACACTGACGTACTATTTACCTGTGAAGCTGAATACACTCAGCACACTAACTTACTATTTTACCTGTGAAGCTGTATCCAATGCACCACTAACTAACTTGACACCCTTTTTAACAGCAACAAGAGCATCATAAATTGGTGCTATGGCTTTCTCTATTTCTTTTCCTATCTTCTTTATATCCTGAGCCTGTTTACCCAGGGCATCTTTAATCTGCTCTATTGGTACATTTAGCTGCTGTCTGAGAGTGTGTGACTGGTTATGAAAGAGTTCAGTACTACAGGCCATACTTCTGGACACTTCTGAAGTATTTATAGAGATGTTTTTGATGGGTCCTGATAACAGGAGTCCAAATATAACTGCCAGAATGGCTACTCTTCCTCTACCAGTAAACAGACTAGGAATCATCAGTACCATTATACAGCGGACATGAACAGACAGTGCTAGACCTAGACATGCTAGAGCTGTCACTCCAATAGATATATACCCAGCCATGTCTAAGTCAAAACCAAAACTGAACACTAGCAGAACAAACAGTATTCCACCAGTCAAAATTCCACAGAAGATGCCAAATATAGCCTTCAGACAGGTGAATGTATGGCGTTCACTTTTAAACAATTTGTCAGGAAATGTTACGGCATCGTTGATTAAGGATGGGTCATCAGATTTTGTCTCTTCAAATCGAAGTTTTAAATTTCCCGGTTTATTTTCCACATTTGTCATTTCTGAGTTTTCTTTCTACCTGTACCAAATAAACAAAACTTTTGCACTCTTTGTCAAATCAAGCTAAGTTTACCTATCAACTCTGGCTTAAGGATGTTTACTGATTATGTTGCCCATTTTGTTTTCATTATTATAAGCTTTCAAGGCTTTTTTTTTAAATTTGTAGCATTAAACAATTTGACCAGCTACCTCCACTTTTCTTATCAAAATTTAAACTACATCCCTTCATAATTTGGTTAAATTCTTGTTATTACTTATACACAATATATGAAAAATCAATAGAACTCCAGTTTCAAGCCAAATCTTTTAATGCTTTTACCTTAAAGAATAAGTGCACAGACATATCATTTTTTCTCGCTTAATGTGTTACTTCTTCTTTAGTAAATGTATGTTTCTATTTTATAACTATGAGCCTTTCATTTGGTATTTTTATCACTTCCTTGACCAGTTAATCTTTTATAATCTCTGGTAACTTCCTTGACCCGTTACTCTTTTATAATCCCTGGTCACTTCCTTGACCAGTTACTCTTTTAAGATCTCTTGGTGTTCATTGTATACTTTGGATTTATTATTATTTGTAATATACAGATTTTCATGGATTTTGTGGGTGTATGTAAACCATGCATTTAAATGTTCAATGAAGTACACATTTTTCTCACATGCATTACTACTGTGATTTTTTAAGAACTCAATAGACTTACATAAAAGGCTATCGAAATTTAAAGTGCAAAAATAAAAAGATCTAAAAAATTTCTGCCATTACAGTATTGTATTTGCAACATGAGGTGACCCTCTGATCACATTAAATGTTCTCTGTCTTCAAGATAATTTCTGAATACTTGTTTAAATACAATTAATCAAAAATTGATAAAATCTTTTAGTATTAAATGTTATTAGATAGAAAGTATTGAAAATTGAGAAAATATTTAAATGAATAGCAGTAATGTTATTTTCGCATTGATTTGTTTTCATCGGAGGATATAGAACTTTTGCAAACCATTCTAAATTGAGTCATATAAGTCTAAGATTGGCATATTTCTGCTATGATTTATCTGTGTGTTTTGTTTTTTTTTGTCTTTTATGTTAATTCTGTATCTTTTTTTTCTCATAAGGATAAGATGAAATAGAAATGATTTGATAAAAATATATGGTAATAATAAGAGAAACAACTTACCTTCTGAAGCAGTTTATACAACAGGAATATTTGATATGAATATTCATTTTCAGGGAAATATTTTAGAATACTTATAACCATTGAAATTCAGGAAATAAACAATTACATTACAATGACTTGATAAGTGTTTCTCACCATTCATTGCCGTTCATTCAAAATTCTGACCCAACTGCAATTTGTTTTATCCAATCAAATTTGAGAAAATATTTAAATGAATAGCTTTAATTTTATTTTCAGCATTGATTTGTTTTCATCGGAGGATATAAGTGTTTCTCTCCATTTATTGCCGTTCATTAAAAATTCTGACCCAACTGCAATTTGTTTTATCCAATCAAACTGTTCAACTGGTCAGAAATTTTAATGAACTGCTGTAGATGAACAACAGTCATAATACAGTCATCAAATTAAAGTGCAAAGTGATAAAATAAAGCATACTTACAATCCTTGAAGATTTTAATTCCAAGGCATGGTTGCTATTAAAGTTTTGCTTAAGATTATTAGTTATTGTAATGCTAGTCCTGAGTGAGTGACGGCCACCTGTGATGAAAAAATAATTGAAATCAGCTCTCAATAGAAAAGTATAAGCAATTAAGTTTTCTCTTAGAAACTAATTCCACATGGCTTAGACAGAAATTTCTCATGAATGGTCTCAGGAATGTGTTATGCTCTCTCATTATACTTTACATATAACTGGCTTTGTCTTCATTGAAATTCGAAGACCTCATGCAAAATATAGTAACTGTAAAGCTGATAAATTATCCATAAAATTAAATAGTGTTTTTATTATTGTTTTTATTATACCCCTGCTTTAAAAAAGTGGGGGTATACTGTTTTACCTCTGTCTGTCTGTCCGTCCCATGAATATTTTCGTGGAATCTTTCTCAGGAACTACATTACAACGATTTCTGTAATTTGGTTTCAGGGTTTATATAAGTCAGCTATACCGTGTGATGCGTTTTCAGATTTATCACTCAACAACTTCCTGTTTACCGAACACTTGTATCATTTTACACATGATAGCCAAGTTGAAAATTTTCGTCACATTTTTCTCAGGAACTACAATACAAGGATTTCTGAAATTTGGTTTCAGGGTTTATATAAGTCAGCTATACCGTGTGATGCGTTTCCAGATTCATCACTCAACAACTTCCTGTTTACCGAAATATTTTGGGCGGGGGTATCATCAGTGAGCAGTAGCTCGCAGTTTCACTTGTTGGTCAGGTTGTAGTTAGTACATAAAATCTATTGTATACCAATTTTTATCAGCTTAGACAGTTTTGGGCCTGGATCCTTGACAACCCACAGGGTATTATATAAGATAAAGAAATTTACAAATGAGATAACTATCCACCAGAGACAACTATCCACCAGAGACAACTATCCACCAGAGATAACTATCCACCAGAGACAACTATCCACCAGAGACAACTATCCACTAGAGACAACTATCCACCAGAGACAACTCTCCACCAGAGACAACTATCCACCAGAGACAACTATCCACCAGAGACAACTATCCACCAGAGACAACTATCCACCAGAGACCAAATGATGTGCATGTAAGCAACTATAGGTCACTGTTAAGCTTTCAAGAATGAATAAAACTCATATTGAATAGTCTGCCCAAAAACGCTGAAGTGGGGGATAAAATGTGAAACATTTGAGTTCATTAAACAAATATAATGGAGAATGTTTTTTTCTGATTCTATTAAGACACATGTATGTATGTTGATACTCATATTTTGTTTATGAAGTTATTAATTCATATGGCTTTATAGTAGGGTTGTTTTTCTAGGATGAATTTTTTTATCTGTATCTCATTTTTCGTAGAAAACTTTATGAAAGGAAAAGAGCCATTCCCTTCAGATTAAGCAGTTTATATCTATTTCCTTGTTATTTGATAGTGCCACAGAAAATTTATAAACTTGTATTTGTTTCTTTTTTAAATACAAGTAAGAGACCTTACAATTTTAAACATCAAGTTAATAATATCCTTCATTGCCATAGCTGATATTTGAATTTAACATTGATGGATTGATTCTTGCTTGTTTAATGTACAGTCATATATATTTCATGCATATTCAAAAGAATATATTAACAACTCATGTAATAAGCTGTTTTAAAATGTAATGCATTGTAGGTAATATTTTCAAAAGATTACACCAAAACTTTGTTATATGCTAACAACCTCCTAGTTAATGGAAATTCAGCCAATGACGAGACATCATTTTCATTTTTGGGTATTAACAATGACATAACCCATAATCCTTTAGATTTTGAAACAGCAAATTGGTAGGTTCTGCAAAGTAGGTTGAGAAGGATGGATGGAATAAAATTGAGAATGGAAATGGGGAATGTGTCAAAGAGACAACAACCCGACCATAGAACAGACAACAGCAGAAGGTCACCAACAGGTCTTCAATGCAGCGAGAAATTCCCGCACCCGGAGGCGTCCTTCAGCTGGCCCCTAAACAAATATATATACTAGTTCAGTGATAATGAACGCCATACTAAACTCCAAATTGTACACAAGAAACTAAAATTAAAAATAATACAAGACTAACAAAGGCTAGAGGCTCCTGACTTGGGACAGGCGCAAAAATGCGGCGGGGTTAAACATGTTTATGAGATCTCAACCCTCCCAATATACCTCTAGCCAATGTAGAAGTACATTTAGATTGCCACTAGTAAATGAGGATATGTTGGATAGTGGCAACAATTTTTACCTAGGACAGGCCAAATACAGATAGTGGCAACAATTTTTACCTAGGACAGGCCAAATACAGATAGTGGCAACAACTTTTACCTAGGACAGGCCAAATACAGATAGTGGCAACAACTTTTACCTAGGACAGGCCAAATACAGATAGTGGCAACAATTTTACCTAGGACAGGCCAAATACAGATAGTTGCAACAATTTTTACCTAGGACAGGCCAAATACAGATAGTGGCAATATTTTTAACCTAGGACAGGCCAAATACAGATAGTGGCAACAATTTTTACCTAGGACAGGCCAAATACAGATAGTGGCAACAATTTTTACCTAGGACAGGCCAAATACAGATAGTGGCAACAATTTTTACCTAGGGCAGGCCAAATACAGATAGTGGCAACAACTTTTATCTAGGACAGGCCAAATACAGATAGTGGCAACAACTTTTACCTAGGACAGGCCAAATACAGATAGTGGCAACAACTTTTACCTAGGACAGGCCAAATACAGATAGTGGCAACAATTTTTACCTAGGACAGGCCAAATACAGATATCCTCAGGAGTTGATGCTAGGGTTCATTAATGTACAGATAGCATGGCACATTCCCTACATGGGGCACCAGATTTACTGTCCCTATAACAACTTTACATGACTGCGTATTTATACATTCTGAATTCCAAATTGTTGACCCACACAAGGGTTTAGTGCAGGACTAAAAGTCTAGGTATGAACATATTCTATACCCTAGTCAACTCTTGGGGTCTTGAAAGAGGGCATGATTTCCGTGATTGTCATCAAATGTAGTACTATGATCTTTCAAATACAAAGAAAATTAAAAAAAAAACATATAGCACTAGAAATTTTCCATGATGCTATATTATAACTGAAGTGCCATTTACATTTATTCCCATCACACATTGTATAAAGCTTGTCTGAATTATAAGCACATTTTTTTATGACAGGATAATGTGTCTAATGGTGGAAACATTAAGGTAGTAGTTAAGAATACATTTTGTCTTCTTCCCCAGAAACATAAAATAATTAATCAGTGAACTTTTACCAGCACTGTTCATTTATTGGGAACCAAATGAAACTTTTCCATCACTCATTGATTACCTGAGTAAAAAATTGATATAAAGGATGAAAAAACATGTTTTAACTCAAAAAACTGCATGTGATGTTGTATTTTTTCAATATCAATAATATATTTTCAATCTGTTCAATGTAAACAGTGATTCAAACATTAAAAGTTGATTTCTGACAAAATTTTCAACATTGATCC